TCCCCCCCGCCCCCATCGCCCCCCCCCCCCCAGGCGTGGACGTCAACGCGTGCGACGCGATATTCGGCACGCCGCTCGTCGCCGCCGCGCGCGCGGGTCACGCGGCGGTCGCGACCGCGCTGCTGAGGCGACCGGAGCTCCTCCCCGATCGACGCTCGCAGCGCGACACCGCGCTCACCGCGTGCGTCGCGAACGGCCACCTCGAGTGCGCGAAGGCGCTCGTCGCGTCGGGACGATGCGACGTGAACCTCCCGCAGGAGGCGACCGCGTGCGCGTCCGGGCACAAGACGACCGCGGACGATCCGCTGACGATCGCGGCCAAGAGGGGCGATCGCGAGCTGGTCAAGCTCCTCGTCGCGCGCGGCGCGCGCGTCAACGGCGGCGGCGAGGGGACGTGCGACATCCCGCTCACGGCGGCGACGACCGCGGGGCACGTCGACGTCGTGATGGACCTGCTGAACGCGGGCGCGGACGTGAACGGGGTCGCGCGATGGGCCGGAAGGACGGCGCTGGTAGCCGCGGCGGAGAGCGAAGATCCGCGCACGCGGACGCTCGTGGACGTTTTCCTTCGACGCGGCGCGGACGCGAACCACGTCTCGAGCGGGATCGTCGGGAGGAGGCTCGGATACGGCGCGGTGCACGCGGCGGCGGCGCGGATGGACGCGGAGATGGTGCGCGCGCTCGTCAAGGCGGGCGCGGATCCGAATCGCCGAGCGAAAAACACCGACTCGAAAGAGGTGAAATCGAGGCGCGCCAACGCGGCGAAGCAACTGTGGGGCGTGAACACCGCGCCGGATCGGCTGGATAACACGCCGTTACACCTCGCGGTCGCGCTGTACATCAACGAGGCGGCGAAACGGCGCGTGAAGGAGCGCGACGCGCGAGAAGCGGAGGAGAAGAGCGGGGGAGACCCGAGCGACGCGAAAAAGGGGGGAGAAAAAGAAAAAGAAAAGCCTTCTCATCCGCCGCCGAGTAAAGGCGGGGACGACGGCGTGCCCGGCCCGGGCGAGAAACTCGCTCTGGACGTCGTGAAAACCCTGCTCGAGTGCGGCGCGGATCACAACGCGTTCGTCGTGGACTCGACGCCGATGCACATGGCCTCCCTCGGCGGCGCGTGCGACGTCGTCGATTTACTCATGTCCAAGGGCGCGGACGTCGCCGCCGCCGCGCCGGGGTGCACGACGCCGCTGGAAGCGGCGACGAGGTACGCCGCGGACCTCGTCGTGGACGCCAGAGACAGCGCCGCGCACGACGGCGAGCCGGAGGAGTACGACTCCGACGACGCGGACTTGCCCGACCTCATCTCCGGGGAAGAATCCGGCGCGAAAAAAGTCGAACGCCTCGCGAGCATGCTGGCGGCGGAGAAACACTCGGAAAAGGTGAAACTGAAGATGGACCTCACCGTGGACGACGGCACCCCGCCGGGGGCGCGCAGCGTCTCGGAAGAGGGCGTCTGGCTGGCCATGGAGGCGCTGAGGGACGCCGCCGGCCCGCTGCGCGCGGCGCGGCACCTCGCGTCCAAGTGGAAAGCGACGGTGACCACGGCGGCGCTCGTCGGCGCGTGTCGCGCCGGCGACGAGGAGACGACGGCCACGCTGCTCGACGCGGCGAGCAACCTGATCGACGAGCGCGCGAAAAAAGAGGGAGAGGTCGTCGCGGCCGCGGACCGTAGCCCCAGAACCATGGACGAGCTCGTGAAGGGCGTCGCGCGGCACACGACGCCGCTGCACGCCGCCGCGGAGGCGCGTTCTATACGCTGGTCCCCATACGACCGCGTTCGCGTGGTGAACGCCGTTCCTTAAGGACTTTGCCCGGCGCATCTCTCCGCCCACCCCACGCTTTCAATCCCCGCCCTCGATGCCTTTCAACTCCAACTGACGCCTTTCAACTCCACCCCGACATTCGCTTGTATGGAACGACCCTTACAGAGCGGCAACGTCGACGTCGCGAGGATGCTCATCGAGTGGGGCGCGGAGGCGGACTCGCGACGCCCCGGGGACGACGCGACGCCGCTGTTCCTCGCCTCGAGGCACGGGCGACCGGGGATGATCGCGTTTCTGTTCTCCCACGGCGCGGACATCGAGGCGCTGTGTAAGACGGCGGATCGACGCGAAGGCCACGACACGGTGACCCCGCTCGTGGAGGCGGTGATGTCCGATCAAGCCGCCTCCGCCGCGCGTCTCATCGCGCTCGGCGCGGACGTTAAAGCCGAGAAGAGCTGGATGCCGCCTCTGCTCACCGCGACGCTGCGGTCGAACGCGACGATCACGCGGATGCTCTTGGACGAGGGCGCGGACCCGCGCGTGGGCGTCGGCGGGATGACCCCGCTGGGTCTCGCGGTGATGACGCGTCAGTCGGACCTCGTGAAGGCGCTGCTGAGCTGGCGCGGCGGCGACGGGAAGAAACAGAAGAAGCAGCTCCCGCCGGTGGAAGGACTCGGCATGGGCCTCGTCGGCGGCGGCGACGGCGACGAGGGAGGAGACGACAAGAGAGACGACGACGACGGCGACGGCGGCGACGAAAAAGCCATCCCGTGCGACGACGCCTCCGCGATCGCGCCGCCCGGCGACGACAAAAAGGCGTCGGGCGGTAAGAGCAAAAAGACCAAGAAGAAGCAAACGCTACAGAGGGTGGACCCGGACGAGCCCATCGACGCCGCGGTCCTGGACGACGGCGACCCCGACGGCGCCGGGATGTGCCAGTGCCCCGTGTGCCAACGACGCGACAACGCCCAGGCGCCCGGCGGGATGGACGCGTTGGACTGCAACCTCGCGTACGGCGGTGGTTCGGGCGGCTCGAAAAACCCGCTCGCCGCCGCGCTCGGCCCGCTCGACGGGTACGGCGCGGAGCGGCATCTCACCCCGCTCGCCGCCGCCGCCAAGCTCGACGACGCGGAGACGGTGACCGCGCTGCTGCTCGCCGGCGCGGACCCGGAGCGCTCCTCCGGGGGCATGCCGCCGCTCGCGCACGCGTCCGGGAAGGGCTCGTGCGCCGCGGTGGTCGCGCTTCTGGACGGCGGCGCTAAGCTCGAATCCGGCGCGTCGCTGCCGCTCGTCCGCGGCGACCGACGCGTGCTCACGCCGCTCGGCGTCGCCGCGGAGGCGGGCGAGCTCGCCGCCGTTGAGCTCCTCCTCGAGCGCGGCGCGGACCCGAACGGGCCTCCGGGCGCCGGGATGGAGCCGCCGCTGTGCTGCGCGGTGACGGACCCGCCGGACGACGACGACGGCAACCCCGTCGTCGGCGTCGTCAGAGCGCTCATCGCCGCGGGGGCGGATCCGAACGCGTCGAAAGAGGACGCGCAGTCGCCGTACTCGCCGCTCATGGTGGCCGCGGGCGCGGGGTCCGTCGCCGTCGTCAAGGCGCTGCTCGACGGCGGCGCGGACCTGGAGCACGTCGTGCGCGTCACCGTCGGCGACAGCGGCGGGCCGAGAGGCGGGCCGGACCGGAAGTGCCAAATCACCGCGCTGTTGCACGCGGCGTATTGCAACGAGCTCGACGCGGTGCGGTTCTTGTTGCTTCGCGGCGCGAAGCTCTTCTCCGCGGACCGCGAGGCGATGTCGTTGGTGTGCGATCACCTGCGTTCGAAAGCCGCGCACGGCGTCCCGGACGCGGCGGCGACGCTGTCGCTGCTGCGGCATCAGGCGGACGCGGAGGCGGACGAGGAGGATGAAAAGGCGGAGCAGCGTTTGCGGGAGGAGCGCGCGCGAGCGGCGGAGCTCAAGGAGGAGCGGAAGCGGCAGCGGCAGGCGGAGAAGGTGGCCGCGGAGGCGGACGCGGTTCGTAAAAAGTTGGAGGACGAGCAGCGGAAGGCTGCTGAGGAGACCGCGGAGGCGGAGCGCCTCGCCACGCGTCTGAAGAAGCAAGAGGAGTACAAGAAGGAGCAAGAGGCGAGGAAAGCCGCGGCGGCGGCGAAGCGAGCCAAGGAAAAGGAAAAGAAAGCCGCGGCCAAGGCGCTCGCGGAGAAGGAAGCCGAGGAGGAAGCGCGCGCGCAGGCGAACATCCTCCAAGAAGTGCAGGACATGGTCGCGGACCTCGAGGTGAAGCGCAAGGCGGAAAACGCGGAGCGCGAGGCGCGCGAGAAGCTCGAACGCGAGGCTGCCATCAAGGAGGAGGAAGAACGCGAGGCCAAGGAGAAAGCCGCGGAGGCGGCGGAGCTCGAACGGAAGGCGGCGCGGAAGCGCGAAGCCGCGGGGAAACAAGCCAACGTCAAGCCCGCGGCGCCGCTCTCCGCGGCGGCCGCCGCGGCCGCGGCCAAGGCGCACCTCCTCGCGCGCGACGAAGCCGAGGGCTTCGTCGGGCCGCCGACCAAGGTGACCAAGGAGGACGCCGCGGAGGGCGCGAGCTGGGCGCACACCGGCGGGTTCTTCGTGTTTCTGTGCAACGACTCCACGGAGGACGAGTGCTACGAGAGAGCGCTGTTCGGCGCGCCCGCCAAGTTCTGGGACGTCGCCGTCGAGCACGTCAAGCCCGGGACCACGCTCGTTCTGTACAACTTCGCCGCGCGCACGCTCAGCGGGCCGTACGAAGCGCTCGCCGCGCCGGGGTGGAACGAGGTCCCGGAAGGGTGGCAGGGCGGACGAGGCGCGCCGCCCGGACGGAGGTGAGACTGCTTCCCATACGACCCCGTTCGCGTGGTGCACGCCGTTCCTTAAGGACTTTTCCCGTCGTCACTCTTCACTCGCGATTCCCTTTCAACGTTTGACCGGTAAGACGTTCGACTGACCGATCGCTTCACCCACGCAGGCTCATCTCCGCGTTCCCGGTGCAGGTGCCCATCGGGCCGTCGCCGCTGATGGAGGCGGTGACCGCGACGCTGGACGGCGACTTCCGGCCGTCGATGGGCGGGCTGCCGTTGGGGTCCCCGGACGTCGCGCGACGCGATGTCATCGTGACCAAGCTGCGGAACGCCGCCAAGGCGCAGGGCGTGGAGTGTCCGACGGCGGCGGAGCGGAAGCGCGGCAAGGCGCGCGGCGCGACCGGCGCGAGCGCGTCGGGGTCGGCGTCTTCGCGACCCAACGCCGCCGGGGTAAACGCTGTCGTGTCGCCGAAGGGGCAGTGGGCGGCGGCGGCGGCGAACGCTCCCGCGTCCGCGTCCGCGTCCGGCGCCTCGTCCGCGTCTTCGTCGCAGAGCGCGTGGCCCGGGCTCGGCGGCGGCGACGGCGCGTGGGGGGGGCCCGGCGCCGTCTCTGGACCCGTCTCCGGCGGCGGCGGGAACGACGAGTGCCCGATATGCTTCGAGCACATCCCCGAGAGCGTGCGGCAGGAGCTCCCGTGCGGGCACCGCGCGCACCGGATCTGCTTCGAGGCGTGGTTCAAGCGGCTGGAGAGCAACGGCGAGTCGTATCACTGCCCGATGTGCCGCGAGGAGTTTACCGCGAAACCGGCGGCGCCGTCCCCGGCGGCGCCGGCGCGAGCGCCGATGCACGCGCCGCCGCGGTCGCAGCTCGCGCCGCCGCCGCCGCCCGTCGCGGAGGCGGGGGCGGGGGCGGCGTCGCGGAACGCGGGCGGCTCGCCGGCGAAGCCCGCCGTTCCGCCGCCGAGCCCGGCGCCGTCGGCGAAGGGCGGCGGCGGCTCGCCGATCCCCGCGCCCGCGCCCGCGTCGAAGAGGGCGACCGAGAAGGAGAAGAAGAAAGCCGCGAAAGCCGCGGCGGCGGCGGCGGCGAAGGAGAGCGTCATGAAGACGATCCCCGCGCCCGTGCGCAGCCCGGGCGCGTCGCCCGGCGGTGAGGATCGCGGGGGAGCCCCGACGGCGATCGCGCGCGGCCCCGCGTCGACCGGGTCGGCGTCGTCGCCCGCGCGGTCGCTCGCGTCGCCGTCGCCGCCGCCCGGGTTCCGGGGCGCGGCGACGGGACCGGGCGCGATCGGCGGCGGCGGGTTCAACGACTCCGCGTTCGCGTCGCCGGCGAAAACCGACGCCGGCGCGGGAGGAAGATTCGGCGGCGGCGGCGGCGGGTTGGGCGGCGGGTTAGGCGGCGGGTTGGGCCTGGGCGGCGGCGGCGGCGGCGGCGGCGGCTGGGGCGGCTTCGGCTCCGGCGGTCTCGGCGGCGGTCACTCGCAATCGCAGCCGCAGCCGACGAGCGCTGGCGCCGGAGAAGCCGGGGGGTGGAACCCGCTCTTCGGCGGCGGCGGCGGCGGTGGGTTGGCTGGTGGCGGTCTGGGCGGCGCCGCCGGAAACGGCGGCGGCGGCGGCGCCCTCGCCGGCGGGTTATTCGGCGGGCCCGCGTTGTTCGCCGCGCCGGCGGCGAACCCGTACGCCGCGAGAGCCGCGGCGGCGGGTCGACACGCCGGGGGGGCCGCCGCGCCGCCGCCCGGGTACCGCCCGTCGCAGCAGCATCAGCAGCATCAGCATCAGCAGCATCAGCAGCAGACGACGAACGGGTTCGGGCACTTCGGCGGCGCGCCCGGAGCCCCCGGAGCCCCGGGGGGCCCGGGGGCGGAGGACGGCGACGACGCGTCCGCGCCGACGTTTTCGCGAGCGGAGCAGCTCTTCCCGTGGCTGTCGTGAGATACGCGCGAAATGGATAAGAAGGAGGAGGAGGAGGAGGAGGGGGCGGCGCGCGGTGGGCGGCGTCTCCGCGCGGCGGCTCTCGCGAGCGGCGCGCTTTTAACAGAAGGATCAAGATACTCAGACGCTCCGAACCGCTCATCGCGACGCGCCGACTTTTCTTTCTCTCGCTGAGCACGTCCTCGAACGCGACGACGTAGAACGCCGACCTCGCGTTTTCTCTAGCTAGGCGTCACTTCCGAGGCGCGCGGGCGCGTCGACGACCATGGGGGAACTCGCGGACGTCGACGCCGGGTTCGACGCCGTGCTCAACCTCGAGGAGACGCACATCGACGAAGGCTGGGAAGAAGGCCTGCGGTGCGCGTCCGTCCCGTCGTCGCGTCCTCGCCCGCCATCGCCATCGCCATCCGTTCGCGCGCCGCCCTCTCGCGTCTCGACGACCGCCGAATGCGCGCGCGCTCGTCCCCCGCCTGACCCTCTCCCCTCCCGTCCGTCCATCGCGTCGACCGCAGGGAAGGCGAGAGGCTCGGCCGCGTCGACGGCCGCGAGCTCGGGTTCGCGAAGGGCTTCGAGATTGGCCAGGAGATCGGCTTCTACGGCGGATGCCACGCGGTGTGGTCGCGGTGCGTGCGCGAAGATCCGGAATGCTTCAGCGACCGCGCGAAGAAGGGCGTCGAGACGTTCGGCGCGTCGCTCGCGGCGTTCCCTCTGCGCGACCCGCAGGACGTCGCGATACTCGAGACGTTGAACGCGATCAGGGGGAAGTTCAAGGCGATCGTCGCCGCGCTCGGGATGCATCGCGAGTACAACGCGCTCGAGCCCGCCGCGCCGGAGATGAGCTTTTGAGATGAATTAGAATTAGATTCTCGTCGTTCCCGCGGGCGCGGCGTTGTCTCGACGACTGGACAAGACGATAGATGGCCTTCTCTCGCGTCGTCGTATTCACATCCGCGCGTCCAGGCTACTACATAACGTCGTCGCCGCGCGCGTCCTCGCCGCGGCGCCGCAGCGCGTGCTATCGCGCGTATCTACACTATCTACACTCGCCCCCGCCGCTACCCTCGTCCGCGGCTCTTGTTCTTTTTCATGTCCACGGACGTTCGCCGCCTCAGCGCTTCCCTTCGCGCCTCCTCCTCCGCTCCGCTCGCGCGTCGCTCGGGTTTAGGTTCCATGAGCCAGAACCGCGCGTCGCGGAAGAACACCGTGTGCACGACGCCGACGACGACGGACGCGTACACGACGACCATCCCGACGCGCGTCGCGTTCCGTACCCTCTCGCGAACGTCCTCCGGGACGTCGAACGTCCAGTCGAAGAGCGACAGCCCGAGCGCGGTGCCGATGACGAACGCGCCGCTGCCGAAGAGGAGGAGCACGATGAGCGCCTTCTTCGGGGACATCCCTCGGAGGCACACCCAGTGCTCGCCCGCGATGGATATCGCGATGCCGGTCTTCCCGTCCGGGTGGTCCATGGACGACCAGACGCGCGAGAGCCATCGCGAGAGGAGCATGCCGTGCGACGCGTTCGATGGTTCGATCCACGTGCCGCCACCTGTCTGGTCGTGATGAACGCGCTTTCTATCCCGAGCGCGCGCGCGCGTCCGTCCGTCTCGCGCGTCCGCCGCGTTTCGTTCGTTCGCTCGCTCTTCTCGCGATGCCGCGATGCCGCGACCTTCGAGACCGTCGCTCGCGCGACGGAGACGCGACGCGTCCTCGCGCTCGACGCGACCGCGCGCGTCCTTCGCTGTGGCCGTAGCGCGCGCGGTTCTCTCCGGTTTTTGAACGACCCAACGGATTTCCGCTTCCGGCTCGGCGCGCGGTGTGATACGACGGGGAAGTCCCGCCGTCGCGTCACTGGCACGCCGCGCGTCGCCGCGCGTCGCCGCGCGTCGTCGTCGCCGCCGCCGCCGCCGCCCTCGCCGCCGCCTCGCGACGATGTTCGCGAGACGCGCGACGAGGGGCGAGTCCCCCGTCGCGGGCGTCGACGACGACCTCGGCGGCTCCCCGCGGCAGATCGCGAGCGGAGGCCTCGGAGGCGTCCTCGCGGATGAGACGGCTTCTTCGTCGGGTCCGGGTCCGTCGTCGGTCCGCGCCGCTCCTCCCGCGGCGACCGCCTCCCCGGACCGACGGACGCCCCTCAACTTCGTGATATGCGTCGGCGGCGTCATCGCGTCCCTCTCCGCGTACGGCGTCCTCCAAGAGCGCCTCATGACGCAGCCGTACGACGGCGAGGTGCGTTCTATCTCACACTGGTCCCCATACGACCCCGTCGGCGTGGTGAACGCCGTTTCTTAAGGACTTTGTCCGGCGCATCTCTCCGCCCACCCCTCGGTTTCAATACCCGCCCTCGACGCCTTTCAACGCCAACTGACGCCTTTGATGAACTCCACCCCGACGTTCGCTCGCATAGAACGGCCCCGAGACGTTCACGCACAGCGTCTTCCTCGTGCTCGTCAATCGCGTCGCGACTGTCGTCGTCGCGGGTTGCGGGCTCGCGCTCACGGGGGGGTCGTTCGCGGCGGGTTCGCGCCAACTCCTCGTCGCGTACGCGGTCGTCGCGTGCAGCAACTGGACGACGACGGTGTGCCAGTACGAGGTGTTGAAGTACCTCTCGTTCGCGGCGTCGACGCTGACGAAGTGCGCGAAGATCCTTCCCGTGATGGCGTGGGGGCGCGTGGTGTTACGGAAGAGGTACGGCTCCGCCGACGTCGCGGTCGCCGTCGCGGTGACGTTCGGGTGCTTCTTGTTCGCGATGGACCGAGGCGTGCTGAGGACGTCGCCGACCGTCGGCGGCGCGACGAAGAAACACGACGACGCGTTCGCCGCGTTCGACGACGGGAACGGCGGAAAGGGAAACCGCCGCGGCGGCGGCGCGAGAGAAGACGTCGTCGTCAAAGCGGCCGACGCGCACGAGTCCGCGAAGGCGATCGCCAAGGCGCGTCGCGCGAAGACGCGAGCGGCGGCGGCAGCCTCCGCCGCCGCGATCGCCGCGTCCGGCGCGGCGAGCGCGAAAGACGACGAGATGATCGTCACCGGCGCGGTCATCATGCTCGTCTATCTCGCGTGCGACGGGTTCACGTCCACGACGCAGCAGTGGCTGTTCCGCCGGCACGCCACGCCCGTGCTGTCGCAGATTTTTTTCACGACGTGCTTCGCGTGCGTCTTTTCGTTCGCGTGGCTCTCGTCCACGTCGCAGCTCGGCGAGGCGATCGGGTTCGTGACGAGGCACCCGCGGGCGCTGCAGGACGTCTTCGTGTTGGCCGTCTCGGCGTGCGCGGCGCAGTTTGCGATAAATTACACCATCTACTGCTTTGGTGCGGTGACGCTCGCGTCGGTGATGACGTTTCGGCAGTTTCTCGCGGTGGTGCTGTCGTGCTTCGCGTTCGGGACGCCGCTCACGGGCGCGCAGTGGTTCGCGCTCGTGCTCATCCTCGCGCCGGTGATGAAGCGGATAGATTCAGGCGCGATCGGGAGGTACTTCGCGCCGGAGAGCGACGGCGGGGGCACGAAGAGGGAGAAGGACGTCGAGGGAGGAAGGGGGGCGTCTTGGAGCGCTCCCAGGGCTTTCTTTAGATGACGAACGACGACGTAGCGTCCAAACTAAACGCGTCAGTCATGTCGACTGCCGCTGCGCCGCGCGCGCCGCTTTCACCGCGTCCGCCTCCGACGGCGCGCGCGCGAACACCCGACGCGCCGGGTCGAACGTCGCCGCGAGCGCCTGCAGCGGCGGCGGCTTCATCGTGCTCTCGGGAATATCCCGCACGTACGTCACCCTGAGGGCCATTCCATACAAAAACAGTTCACCGGTCAGTTGAAAGGGAGAGCGATCAAATGTTGAAACCGGGCGATGAGTGAAAAACTTTTGTAGAGAACGCACCTGACACCCCCCTCCTCCGCCGCGCGAGACGCGTCGCACGCGTAAAACGAGATTCCCTTCACGCGCGACGCGCCCTCGACGCCGAGGTCAACCTCCCACGTGAAGCAGCAGTCGTCCTTCCCGTCGGAGATGCGGTCCGGGACGAACGTCAGGCCGGGGATGTCGAACTCCTCGAGGAACGTCCCCACCGCGTCCGCGCCCGCGAACGGGAGCGCGAAATTCAGATCCTCGTAGACGACGTCTTCGTCGAAGAATCGCAGCGCCTCCCTCCGGAAGTCCTTCGAGCCCTGGACCTCGAGCCACAGGTACGCGACGAGGTCCGACGCGGTCGCCGGCGTCCGCGCGAGCGCGAGGTCCCCGGGCGGCGTCGCCGGCGGCTTCGCGACGGCTTTCAGGAGCTCCGCGGTGGCGCCGCCGGGCTTCAGAATCGGCTCCGCGATTTCCCGGACGTAGACGATCCGTCCCTCGTCGTCCACCTCCACGAACGTCGTCCCTCGCAGCCCGCGTCCGCCGCTATCTCCGTCGCCGCGACGACTCCGGTGCCACGTGAACCCGCCGGAGACGGACCCGAGCGCGCGACGCTCGACGACGAGCGACACGCCCGCGGCGGCGTCCGCGGCGAAACGCGCGGAGAGACGCTTGCGCACCGCCGCCCTCCCGACGATCGGATCGCTCGAGTGGGAGAGGTCCTCCCACGCGACGGCGTCCGCGCACGCGGCGACGATCTCCTCGGGGTTCCATCCGACGCCGCCGTCGTCCCTCCACAGGCGGGAGATGAGCGCGCCCGCGTCCGGCTCGCCGTCCGCCGCGGGGATCTGCGCGGGAAGCGAAGCGACCGCCGCCGCGCCGCCGCCGCCGCCGCCGCCGTCCGACGGCGGCAGCCCTTTCCCGCTCAGCACACACACGATGAAGTACTGGATCAGACCCGGTGGCCCGGTGAAGTTCGTGAGCAGCAGCGAGGGCCCCAGCAGCGGCACCCCGCGCGCCGTCGCGTCGAGCCACATCCACCGCCCGACGAATAAATCCCACGCGAGCACGTGCGCCCACTCCTCGGTGACGAAGTTTGGGTTTTCTAGCATCGACTGGAAGCCGACCAGCGGTCCGGTCACGGAGCCGTCCGCCCACGACCACGGCGGTATGGACGGGTCGAACACCGCGCCGAACTTGGCCGCCTCCTCCAGCGCGCCGGGCTGCGTGAATCCGACGCCGTCGACGAAGACGTGGATGCCCGTCGCTATTAAGACGGGCACCCACGATCCCATGACGACGCGCGTGACGACGCTCTCCGGGGCGAGGATCATCAAGAGCCAGAACGCCTGCGGCGTGAACGTCGCGAGGTTGAACGACGCGACGATGCTGGGGAGCACCTCCGCGGCGTTCGCGGCGTCGGGGATCGCGAGCGTCGTCGCCGCGGACGCCAGCGTCGCGACGGAGGCGACGGCCGTCGCGGTGCTCGCGCTCGCGGACGACGACGCCGACGTTTCGCGGTGGCCGCGCGACGACGCGACGGGCGCGACGACGCGCGCGACGACGCGCGCGGCGCGCGACGCGCGGCCGCGCGCGCGAGAGACGCGCGCGAAGACGCCGAGACCGCGCGCGGAGAGCAGCGTCGGGAGGGCCATCGTGCCGGCCGTGACGCCGTGCGGTCGCGTATGCGCGACGTCATCGTTTTCTGTTTATTCCTCCGAGACGGCACCTCGCCTCGCGAACGCCTCGTCATCACACCGCATCGCCCGTCTCCTTCGCCACGCGCGATGGCAACGACGCGCGCGGCGCCGCCGCCCTCCCTCGCTCGTCGTCATCGCGCCCTCCGCGACGACCACCTCGCGCGCGCGCGCCCCTCGTCGTCGACGTCGACGCTCGGACGCCGCCGCGATCGCGCCGTCTCCGCGACTACGCGCGCGTACGTCCCCACCGATCGCGTCTCGGAGCTGCAGTCCGAGGGCGCGTACGCGGTCCTCGCCGCCGCGCAAGCGCTCGAGCGCGAGGGTCGCGACATCGTCCACCTCGAGATCGGCCAGCCCGGGTTCCCGACGCCGTCGCACGTCGCGCGCGCGGGGATCGACGCGATCGACGCGGGGAAGACAAAGTACAGCTCCCCGGACGGCATTCCGACGCTCAAGGAGTCCATCGCTCGGTACGTCTCGCGGACGCGCGGTCTCGACGACGACGCCGTCTCCCCGGACGAGGTCGTCGTCGGCCCGGGCGCGAAGCCCGGGCTGTTCTTCCCCGCGCTCGCGGTGATCTCCCCGGGGGACGAGGTGATGTACCCGGACCCCGGGTTTCCGACGTACAAGGCGATGATTCAAGTCGCGGGGGGGGTCCCGGTGCCGGTGCCGCTCCGCGCGGACGGCGCGTCGTTCGACATGGACGCGTTCAGGGCGAAGATGAGCCCCAAGACGAAGCTCGTGGTCCTGAACTCGCCCGCGAACCCGACGGGCGGGGTGATGCCCGCGGAGGACGTCGAAGCGGTCGCGGCGGCGGCGAAGGAAAACGACGCGTGGGTGCTCAGCGACGAGATCTACAGCCGGCTCGTGTACGGCGACGGGGAGGACGACACGGGTAACGCTACGGCGTCGAGCGTTTTCAACATCCCCGGGATGCGAGACCGGACGATACTCGTCGACGGCTTCAGCAAGACGTACTGCATGACCGGGTGGCGGTTGGGGTGGGCGGTGATGCCCGCGGCGCTGGCGAAAAAAGTCGAGCTCCTCCTCGTGCACTCCGTGGGGTGCACGGCGACGTTCACGCAAGAGGCGGGGATCGCCGCGCTGGAGGGGCCGCAAGACGGCGTCCTCGAGATGGTGGACGAGTATCGGCGACGCAGAGATTTCGTCGTCGGCGCGCTGAACGAGATTCCCGGGGTGGAGTGCCCCACCCCGGCTGGGGCGTTTTACGCGTTTCCCGACGTGAGCGCGTTCGGGAAGAGTTCGAAGGAAATCGCGGACCTGCTCCTCGCCGAGGGCGGCGTCGCGGTGCTGCCCGGGACGGATTTCGGCGCGAACGGCGAGGGAAAGATTCGGTTGAGCTACGTCGGGGACATGGAGACTCTGCGCGAGGGGTGCGCGAGGATCGCGGCGACGCTCGGGAAGCTCGAGATCGAGCGTTCGTGAAGGTGCGACGTGATGGTAGTATTACATAAACCGTCGTCGGTGTATAATCAGCCTGTTAATGTAAGGTGAAGTAGACATAATTGAAGGCGGCGTGCGTGCGTGCGTGCGTGCGTGCGTGCGTGCGTGCGTGCGTGCGTGCGTGAAAGAAACAAAGGCCGCGGCGGGATCGAAACCGCGCCGGCGTCCGTCCGAGGCGCGTCAGCTCAGCTCACGCGTCCGCGGCGACGACGCCGCCGTCCGTGATCGTGAACTCCGCGTCCGCCTCCTTCAAGTTCGGCGCGTCCACGACCTTCAGGATCCTGTTGTCCCCCCTTCCTTTGCGGACGCTGAGGCGGATCGTGGACGCGTGCGCGAGGACGTGGCCGCCGATCGCTTTCTTCGGGTCCATCCCCGCGAAGGACATCCCGCTCGGGTCCGCCTGGACCTGGTTCGTGTACACGACCGCGATGTTGAACTCGTCCGCGATTTTCTGGAGCTTCGAGCAGAACTGCCCGAGCTTCTGCTGGCGCTCGGAGAGCTCGCCGCGTCCGGTGAAGTCCACGCGGAAGTGCGCCATGATGCTGTCGATGATCAGGAGCTTGAACGGTTCCTCGGAGAACCTCGCGGCGAGCGCGACGAGGCAGTTCGTCATCATCTCGTGCGTGAACGTCTTCGCGACGAGGATGTTATCCAGCACCGCCTCCGCGTCGAGGTTGAACCGTTCCGCGATCTTCTCGATGCGATCGGGGCGGAACGTGCCCTCCGTGTCGATCCAGGCGACTTTCGCGCAGCCGCCGCCTTCGTTCAACGGGAGCTGCGTCGTGACCGCGAGGGTGTGGCAGATCTGCGTCTTGCCAGTCCTGCGCGCGTGGGATCACGTGCGACGAGCGAGGAGTACGATTAGTTCGATCTCGCGCGCGTGAGATGGCGAACGCACGAGAGATGCGCGTCGAGTGCGGGGTAGAGAGTCCGCGCGGCGGCGTGTTTTTTTCGACGCGCGCGCACAGCTGTGCGCGCGCGGCGCGTGCGTACCTCCACTCGCCGTAGATCTCGGTCAGGCAGCGCGTGGGGAAGCCGCCTTTCAGTACGTTGTCGATCGTTTCCGCGCCGCTCGTGATGTTGACGTTGTCCTTGCGCTGCGGGAGGATGACGAGGAGGGAGGAGAGTCAGTGCATAGCCCGCGCTGGGGTGCCAAGTTGGAGAACGCGTCGGAGGGACTCGTCCGTGGTCTCCCACGCGAGCGACCTGACACACATGTCCGCGCCGACGTTGTCGTTCGGCTTGGGCGCGTCGCCGTGAGGGGAGTGCGGGGAGGACGTGGGCGAGGACGGCGAGCGCGGCGGCGGCGGCGGCGACGACGGCGACGGCCCCCCGGACGGCGGCGGCGGGGCCCCGGACGACGCCCCGTCGAGCGAGAGGAAAAACGCGCACCGAGAGCTGCAGCTCCTTCGCGGTTTGGAACCCGCCCGCGGCGCCCGGGCCGAGGAGCTTCCCCGCGGCTTCGATCATCTTGTCAACTTTCGCGTCGGACATGCCTTTGATCTCGATGAGGAACTTCTTCGGGACCGTGATGACGGACTTGACGGTGGCGTACCCCGCCTCCTTGACTTTCTGCGCGTTGACGGAAAAAAAGTCGTTGAGCGGCGGAAGGAGGACGCGCGCGCGAGGGAAGGGGAAGGGGAAGGAGCGAGAGAACGCGCGCGCGCACCTTGATGTCCGTCGCGGAGACGCCGCATGACTGCATCTCGTCGATGAGGATGAAGCACTGCGGGAGCTGCTCCGCCTCCTCGTACGCTTCCTGCTCCGCGGCTCCGGCCGGGGCGTCGACGAGGCCGGGCGCGGCGTTCTGCTGCGACTGCGTCGCCGCGAGGCCTTCGTCGCGGTGAAGGGCTTCCATGACGGCGGCCATCGTGTTCGTGCGGGAGGGAGGTGAGCGAGAGCGCGGGGCGAGAGAGGGCGAGACGGCGCGCGATACGGCGCGCGCGTGCGGCGAGGGCGAGGGAGTGGGGTGCCCGGAAAGAAACTCGAAACTCAAGTCAACTTCTCAAGAGCGCACAGCTGTGTCCGATATACAACCGATACGAGCTACGCTCGCGCTCACATCGCCTTCTTAAGCTCCTTCACCATCAAGTCTACGAAGTTATCGTTACTCACGAGCTTATACATCGCCGCCCGGACGCTCTCGCGGTTCAACCCACCGCCGCCGCCGCCGCTCGCCGCCGCCGGCGAGTCTGGCGCCGCCGCCGACGTCGCGACGGGCGCGGGCGTCGCCGTTTTCTCCCGCCGCGGCTTCGCCACCACGGACGCGACCGGCGGCTCCGCCATCGGCGCGGGCGCCGCGCCGCCGTACCCAGGCGGCGCGCCTCCTCCCTGACCGAGCGTCCCCGCGAAGAGCGCGGCGACGTTATCGCTCTGCGCGGGCGCGGGCGCGGGCGCCGCCGCCGCCGCGGGCGCGCCGCCGATGCCCAGCCGGTGCAGCGTCGCCGCCGTGTCGTCGACGCTCGAGACGCCCGCGGGCTCTCTCGCGAACGCGGTCGTGATCTGATCGAACAGCGCGCTCATGGCGTCGCACTCCTCCTGGCGGTAGAACCATATCCCGTTCACCTCGCTCTCGCTCCTGTACAGCAGGTACGGCGGAGAGAGCTCGAACTCGAACTCGCCGAGGAGGTTTTCTCGGCAGTTTTCCGTGCTCAGTCGGTTGAGGACGACGAACTGGAACGACGGCACGGCGCGTCGTCGGACGACGAACAGCGTCCCCTCCACGTTCTTGCGGCTCTGCGCGACGACGGGCGAGGTGTGTGTGTGTGTGGGGGGGGGGTCGGTGGTGGGCGAAGACGCGGGCGGACGATGGAAAGGAATCGGTCGATCGCTCGCGCGCGGAGGTGCCCGTTCGATCGCGTGGGAAAAGAAAAGGGCGCGTCGTCGTCGCCGTCGCCGCGCGGGCGCGCACCCACGCCTTCGCGTCGAGATCGAACCCGTACAGCGTCACGTGCGACGCGCTGCCGAGGATCTCCTCCACGTCCGGGTCATCCTTCTGCAGGACCTTGAGGTTCGCCAGGACGGACTGGTCCACGAGCGGCTTCTTGGGCGGCATCGCGCGCGCGTCTTTGACGATCGCGCGACTCCGCGCTCGCACTCGACTCGTCGTCGGTCGGTGCGGTCGGTCCGACCCGCCGCTGCAGAGGACCTTTCGAGCGCGGTGGCAGTCCACCCCGCGCGCGAGCGGGATGCTCAAGCCCGAGGAGGTCGCCTCCGGCGCCTTCGCCGGGCTCGTCGGGACCGTGCTCGGGTACCCCCTCGACGTCGTGAAGAGCCGCATGCAGACGAACGCGGGAGCGCGCGCGGGGTTCGGTGCGCGGACGACCCGATGAATGCGTTTCCTCGCCATCCGTCCGCGCGTCCGTCCCGTCGTCTTTTATCCTCTCCGCGCTCGCCTCGCGTCGACATGCCCCTCGCTCACGCCCGCAATCCGCCCACTCTTCGTCGTATCGCAGGTCGCACGCTCGCGCACCTGGTGCGAACGGACGGCCCGGTCGGGATGTACCGCGGCGTCGGACCGCCCATCGCCATGATGGTGCTGATGAACGGCGTCAACTTCCCCGCGTTTTATCACTTCAAACGCGTCGTCGGCGGGCCCCAGGGATTGCACGACTCTAGTAGAGAAGTCGGCTGGGGCACGACGCACGGCTCCGTCGATCCAACCGTGATCCTCGCGGGCGCGCTCGTGGGGCCGATCTGCGCGATCGTCGGCACGCCGTTCGAGCTCGTGAAGCTTCAGATGCAGCTCGACGGCGGCGGCGACGGGATGCGCGCGAAGAGAGCGTATAAAAACTCCGCCGAGTGCGCGAGGACGCTGTGGCGAAAGTACGGCCCGCGGGTCTTCTACCTCGGGTACGGCGTGAACACCGTGCGCGAGTGTGTCTTCAACGGCGTCTTCTTCAGCACGTTCGAGCACATCAACCACGGGATTCGCAGGGACGTGTTGGGCGCGGGAAGCGACTCCGTCGCCGTCGCGCTCGCCGGCGGCGTCGCCGGCACCGTCGGCTGGTTCGCGAACTTACCGCTGGACTGCGTCAAGTCCGGGATACAAGGGCAGCGGCTGGGTTCACCCGCGCCGGGGGAGTGGCGCGTGCGGAACTACGCCAAGGTGGGGTTTCTGGAGGCGGCCGCGGAGGTGCGCGCGCGGCCCGGCGGGTGGATCAACTTTTTCAGCGGCGCCGCGCCGAGCGCGGCGCGGTCGGTGCTCGTGTCCGGGTCTCGGTTCGCGGCGTACGCGTTCATGCTCGAGCGGTTGGGGGGCGGGGGGGTGGGGGGGATACCGTTGGGGGAGTGATGGTGATCGATCGTTCGCGAGCGACGCGTAGGCGTCGCTGTAGGATAGCGCGTAGACGGAGGCGACGGCGACGACCCGAGCTCGGGTCTGGTGACTGGTATCGACCGCCTCGGTTTTTGCCCGTTGTTGCAGAGACGCGCTCGTCCAATCACCCGCGAGAACGCGCGGTGCAAAAAAAGTCGAGTCGAGCGATTAACTCGTCGATTAGACCGTCGCGCTCAAATACCAAAATTTTTCGGCGTTTCGCGAAAAACTCGTTGGCACACCGCGCGAGAACGACGAGGGCGCGCGCACTTCAACCCGCGCGAGCGCCGCGTCTTCGCGCGCACGCTTCGCGTCGTACTCACCGAGTCTCTCGCTCGCGGAAGCGCGCCGCTTGTTTCAGAGACTCAGGCGCGGCGTCGTTCACGAGCGCGAGCGCTCATCCAAAAGGAAAAAGCGACGTCGTCTTATTCCTCGACCTCGACGAAGAACGCGTCTCGGTCGTCCTCGCCGTCGCTTCCTTCGCTTCACGCGAACGCGCGTCGTCTGAGCCTCGTCCGCGCGCGAGGCACGAGACCGCCGCCGCCGTCGCGTCTCTCTCGCCATGGATCAGGCGCGTCGCCCGCCGCGCGCGCGCGTTCGTCGATCTTCTCGTCTTCCCACACATCCATCTTTTTGCTTCTTCGTCGTCGGTCGTTTTTCTTTCCAAAAAGAATCCAATCCATCGTCGTTCAAACCGCCGCCGACGCCGACGCGCCCCCACCCCCATCCCCCCATCCGTCCATCCTCCAGGCCGTGCGCGACGTGTGCACGTCCAACGGCGAATCCCCGGAAGAGGTGACGTCGCTCACGCTCGACTCCATGTGCGCGTCCACGTCCGTGACCGGCCTCGACGCGTGCGTCGCGCTCGAGGAGCTGTCGCTCATCGGCTGCGGCGTCGCGACGCTCGAGGGCTTCCCGGACCTGCCCAAGCTCACGAAGCTCTTCCTCAACGACAACCGCATCGCGGGCGGTCTGGAGCACCTCGCGTGCTTAAAGACGCTCAAGGAGCTCGGCGTCGGCGGGAACAGGATCGCGTCTCTGGACGAGCTCAAGCCCATCGCGTCGCTGCCGCTGACGTCGCTGGATCTCGCCGGGTGCCCGTGCGCGGACGACTCGGCGGAGTACCGCGCTGACGTGTACGACATGTTCCCGAGCCTCGTGTATCTGGACGGCATGGACGCGGACGGGGAGGAGAAGCTCATGGAGTCGGACGAGGACGACGACGAGGAGGAGGATGAGGATGAGGAGGACGATTTCGACGACGACGACGCCGAGGACGGACTCGACGACGAAGACGAAGACGACGAAGACGAAGACGAGGACGAAGAAGTCGTCATCTCCGACGACGACGACGACGACGACGACGACGCGGCCGCCGCCGCGGAGGACGGCGGCGGCGGCGACGACGACGACGACGAAGAGGAGTCGGACGACGACGACGACGAAGACGACGACGACGAAGACGAGCTCGGCACCGCGCACCTCCTCGGCACGACGACGGACGACCTCGAGGAGGGCGACGACTTCGAGGCGGACGAGGACCCGGAGAGCGAGGACTTCGACGACGAGGAGGAGGAGGACGACGACGACGAGGACGCGGGCGCCGCGAAGAAGGCGCGCGTGGAGTGAGCGATCTCTCGCCGGTCGGGAGGGACGCGGCGAGAGAGAGAGAGAGAGAGAGAGAGAAACGAGAGAGGGACGCCGCGCGACGGTCCGGACGACGGGCGGCGCGACGGTTGTAACGCGAGAGAGCGGTTGAACGCGAACGAAGACGCGCGCCGATCGTCCTGTCGTTCGCACCTTAGGGTTCGCGCGATCGCGTCCCCCGTCACAACCGCCCGCGCGTCGCACCCTTCGCGCGCGCGCGCCCGCCGTTCGTCGAACGATGTCCGGCCGTCTCGCGGACCAGACGATGCGGCTCATCGCGACGACGACGCGCGGCGTCGCCGTCGCCGCCGCCGGTCGCGGCGTCGCGTCGAGCGCGCGATCGGCGGGGCTGGCGGGATCGATCGTCGAGCGACGCGCGGCGCCGACGTTCGCGCGCGCGTGGGACCGCGGCATCGCGCGAGCGAGCGCCGCGGCGACGTCCGGGACGGACAGCGCGACGCGCGGCGTCGCGACGCGAGGGAGGTGGCGTCGATCGGTGGACCGACGGCGCGGGTTCGCCGCCGCCGCGGGGGACGACGCGAAGGATGGCGACGACGCGTCGACGGATCCCTCGCTCAGCGCGGCCGCGGCGGGATCGAAGGACGAGGACGGCGACGCGAGGGAGGGCGAAGAGGGCGACGACGACGACGACGACGACGACGGGGATGACGAAGAAGGCGACGACGACGACGAGGGCGACGACGACGACGACGACGAAGAGGGCGACGAAGACGACGACGACGACGAAGACGACGACGACGAAGCGTTCGGCGTGCTCGCGCGATTCCGCAACGAGAAGATACCCGCGGACCAAGGCCTCGGCGCGGACAAGACGCTCCCGGTGTTCACCATCGACGGCACCCCCACGGGCGAGACCCTCATCCTCCCCGGGCGGCACTTCGATCAACCCCTGCGCGTGGACCTCGTGCACAGGGTCGTCCACTGGCAGCGGAACAAGGCGCGAAAGGGACGGAAAAAAACCAAGACGCGAGGAGAGGTCAGCGGCACGACGAGGAAAGCGCGGCCGCAGAAGGGCGGCGGCCGCGCGCGCGTGGGCAGCCTGCGCGCGCCGCAGATGCGCGGCGGCGGCGTCGCGCACGGCCCGGTCGTGCGATCCTACGAGACGGCGTTGAACAAGCGCGTGCGGCGCGCGGGGTTAAAAGTCGCGCTCAGCGCGAAGCTCGCGGAGGGCCGCGTGATGCTCGTGCGCAGCACGCACGACGGCGTGGAGCCGAAGACGAAGTGGCTGGACGAACGGTTAGATAAGCTGCTGGGGAACCAGTCCCTCGCGGCGGGGGAGAGGAGCCACTCCGTGTTGATCGCGGAGGTGACGCCGACGGAGGCGGAGGGCGCATTGGAGGCGCGGCGGAAAGATCTCCGAACGGGGCGACCGGCGCAGACGTGGATCTCAAACGCGAAGCGCGCGTCGCGGAACATGCCGTACGTGCACGTGATGCATCAGAGAGGGCTCAACGTGTACGACATTCTGCGGTACCGGTCGCTCGCGATGACGCCCGACGCGCTGCGAGAGCTCGTGCGGCGGTTGGACGCGCCGCTCAAGCCGGGGAGGATGACGAGGGAGGATCGGCTCGTCGTTGACGAAGACGCGGACCCGCTCGCGCCGCCGGCTCCGGAGGCGCGGGACCCTGGGGTCGAGCTGCCCGCGGCGTAGAGCGCAGAACGACGCGCCGGGCGGCGGCGAGACGAGGCGCGAGAGGACGCGCGCGAGGCAAGGCGGGGTTCGTTCGTTCGTTCGCTGAGTCGAGCGCGGCGTCGTCGCGCGCGAGTGAACGCTTCGTCGTCGTATTATATTACGGGATCAGATCATCACGTCGTTCAGTCGTTTCGGTCGTCACCACTGAAGAAACATCTCCTTCGTGTACCCCAGCTTCTCGAACGCGGGGAGGACCGCGTATTTCATCATCGGCGGCGGCCCGCACAACAAAATCTGCGTGTCCGGCCCCGGCGGCGGCATGTGCTCTTTGATCATCTCCGCGGTGACGAACCCCGTGCTCCCCGTCCACCCTTTCCTCTTCGCCTTGTCGATCGTGTAGTGCGCGACGAAGTTCTCGTGATCCCTCTCGCACGCGTCCAGCTCGTCCTTGAGCAAGATGTCGTCCTCGGTCTGGTTCGCGAACAGCAGCGACAGCTTCGTCGCGTCGCCCGGCTGGTCCCTAAACGCCGCGCGCATCACCTGCAGCATCGGCGTTATCCCCGTCCCGCCCGCGATCATGCCGACGCGTCTCGCGCGCCGTAGCTCGTGCCCGCCGCCCTGCGACTTGAGGCGCTTGATGGCGAAGACGCCGCGGCCGCGGTACTCGAACCGGCCTTTCGGGCCTTGGAAATCCATCGTGTCCCCAACCTTCAGCGCGTGCATGCGCTGCGACACCTTCCCGCCGTCCGGGAACTTGTCGCACTTGAAGTAAACCTTGATCACAAAGTCGACGCGCCCGCGGTCGACGTCGCTGGACGTCGGCGTGTACGGCCGCGATTGCTCCTTCCCGTCGTCGTCGATGTACGACAGCGCGACGTGCTGCCCGATCGGGAGGCCGAGGACGTGTTCCGGCGACGGCAGCGCGAACCGGAACAGGTACGTGTCGTGCGACAGCTCCGTCTTGGACTCGAGTCTGAGCGCGACCTTCTTCGTCGGGTTCTTCGCGTCCAGCGTCGTCTTTCGTCGTGTTCGAGCGGATCCGAAGACGAAGTCGAGGAGGACGATCGTCAGCGCGACCGCGGCGGCGACGGTGAGGACGAACGCCTCGACGTCCATGCCGTCGGGGAGCCCGAGCGTTCGCGCGGTGACTTTCATGATGGACGGAGAAGGCGGCGGACGCGTCGTCGTCGTCGCGGTCGCGCGCGTCGTCGCGTCGAGCGGTGCGCTTGACGGTCTGTCGATCGATCGCGTCGACGTGTTCGAGCGGCGGATATCAGAGATCGAACGCGTGGCGGGGCGAGTTCGGGCGGCGGGCGGATTTGGTCGAGCTTGAAACCGGCGCGAGGGGTCGAGCTTGAAACCGGGGCGGCTTTCGGCGTCGGTCGAGTTGACCGGGTCGCACAGGGAAAAAGTGACTGCGATATAATGCTTGAATTCGCCCAATCAAGCATCACCGTTTGTTCGCGGATCAGACGGGCTCACCTAATAACCATGTCTCGTTGGTGTAGTTGGTTATCACGTTCGCCTCACACGCGAAAGGTCGCCAGTTCGAACCTGGCATGAGACAGAATCGTTTTTTTGCATTTTCTTGCGCGGGGCCATCGTCCACATGATATGAGGAACCTCTCCACAAATTTTCAGGTCAATCGGAGCTGTTTTGAGGCGGTGGCGGTCGCTCAACGACGAGCTGGTGCATGTTGTGTTTTGGAAAAAAAAGTTGCTGAACAGAAAAGCGAAAAAGGTCCATCCAGCGGTAGATGCCCCGCCCACTCTGCTCCGCGCCCCCCACCCCCCCCCATCGCAGCGATGGCCGCGGTCGCGGCGACGTCCTCCGCGGCGGCGGCGCTCCGATGCGCCGTCGCGTCCACGTCCGGACGGCGGCGACGCGCCGCCGGGGACGCGACGCCGTCGGCGAGGTTCGGACGATGTCGACGACGATTTTTCGCGCTCCTCCGGGAGAGCGACGACGACGATCCTCCGCCGCCGGGACGACGCGCGGCGTCCGGCGCCGCCGCGGAAGCGGCGTCCTCGGACGAAGAAGCCGACGCGCCGTTCGCGGTGCTCGCGAACGCGACGCCGCTCGCGACGACGCCGAAGGACCACGACGACGACGACGCGACGTCCCCCGCGCCGACGACGCCGTTCGTCGCGACCGCGGACGTGCTGCGATTCTGCGAGCCGGACGCGCGCCCGATGAAAGTCGCCGTACTCCTCAGCGGCGGCGTCGACAGCAGCGTCGCGCTGACGCTCCTCCAGGCCGCGGGCCACGACGTCACCGCGTTCTACCTCCAGATATGGTTCCAAGAGGACTTCCGGAACTACTGGGACCAGTGCCCGTGGGAAGACGACCTATCGGAGGCGCGCGCGGTGTGCGATTTGCTGCGCGTGCCGCTGGAGGTGGTGCCGCTCACGCGACCGTACTGGGACCTCGTCGTGTCGCACAGCGTTGAGGAGATATCGCGCGGGCGCACGCCGAACCCGGACATGCTGTGCAACAGCAGGGTGAAGTTCGGCGCGTTCAGGGAGTGGCTCGCGGAGACGCACCCGGGGAGGTTCGCGAGGTGCGTTCTATACACTGGTTCCCATACCACCGCGTTGGCGTGGTGAACGCCGATCCTTAAGGACTTTGCCCGGCGGATCTCTCCGCCCACCCCTCGCTTTCAATCCCCGCCCGCGTTGCCTTTCAAATCCAACTGACGCCTTTCAACTCCACCCCGACATCGCAATGTATGGAACGACCCTTAGGGTCGCGTCGGGGCACTACGCCGCGTTGGAGCGGCCGGGCGGACCTTTCGGCGGCGCCGGCGACGACGCCGACGCCGACGGTAAGGTGAAGCTCGTGATGTCCGGGGACGCGCACAAGGACCAGACGTACTTCCTCGCCGCGCTGTCTCAGGCGCAGCTCGAGGGTTTATCGTTCCCGATCGGCGGCTTACCGAAGGCGGAGATTCGAGACATCGCGCGAAGGGCGGGGCTGCCCAACGCGAACCGAAAAGACTCGCAAGGGATCTGCTTCCTCGGGAAGGTCAAGTTCAGCGAGTTCGTCGCGGAGCACCTGGGGGAGAGGCCCGGGAAGATCGTGGAGATCGAGACCGGGCTGGAGATTGGGGAACACAGAGGATTCTGGTTCCACACGATCGGCCAGCGGAGCGGGCTGGGGCTCAGCGGCGGACCGTGGTACGTCTGCGGGAAAGACGCGAAGAGGAACATCGTGTTCATCACGAAGGATTACTACGCGGGGGATAAAGAGCGGCGCGCGTTTCGAGTCTGCGAGTTTAACTGGATATCCGGCGAAGCGCCGGCGAAGAGCGCGCGCGGGTACGCGCTCGGGTTCGGCGACGACGCCGACGACGCCGACGCGAACGACGGAGACGGCGACGACGACGACGACGCCGCGGACGACGGCGGCGCGTCCGAGGCGCACGTCGCCGCGGCGTCGATATCCGAGCTGTACTGCAAAGTCCGCCACGGCGAGCGGCGGTATCGATGCACGCTCAAGTTCGACCCCGACGGCGAGGGCGGGAGGGTCGTCCTCGACGCGAACGACCAAGGCCTCGCCGCCGGACAGTTCGCGGTGTTTTACGACGGCCGAGAGTGCCTCGGCAGCGGCGTCATCGCGGAGCGCGCCGCGCCGATCGACGTGAAGGTCTTGGTCGACCCGAAGAGCGCGGCGAAGCGGCGCAGCAGCGACAACAGCGCGCCGCCGGCGCGATAGACGAGACGGTAGGTCGTTTTTTATGATGAGTCATGATCAGACGAGAGCGACGCGCGCGCGTCGCGAGAACGAATCCAGACTCGTCTCCGCTTTATTCCAGCTCGTCCGGTGCCTGAAAATATCATAAGCGCGGCCGCCGAACGAAATTTCCGCATTCCGAGCCGGCCGCCGCCCCGCCGCCTGCGGGTGGTACCGCGGTCGTCGCCTCGAGGATGGCGTCCGCGTTCGAGCGCCCGAGCCCCGACGTCCTCGCGTCGAGATCGCAGCGGTTCAAGGCGGAGGCGAAGATCGTTCGGAGCCTCCCCGCGCCGAAGAAGGTGATGGCGTGGACCGGGGGGAAGGTCACGAGCAACAAGGGCGAGGCGCTCGCGAAGTTCCTCGCGAGGAAGGCGGAACTCGGCGAGCGCGTGGATCCGAAGCTGTTGAAAAACGCGGTGAGAGCGACCGCGGAGGCGGCGCAAGTCGCGGTGGACCCGGAGGCGCCGCCGTCGCCGACGGACGCGGACGCGCGAAGGAAGAAGAAGGCGGCGAGATCGGCGGCGAAGGCGGCGAAGAAGATGCTCAAGGTGGAGAAGAAGGCGCTGAAGAGAGCGTCCAAAGAGCTGAGCAAGGCGGCTAAGAAGAACCTGAAGCGGTCGCAGAAGCGCGCGGAGAAGAAGAACGCGCTCTGACGGACGGATGTCGACGAGTGGATGGAAGTACGTCAACGCGCGTCGCGCGTGTCATAGAAGTTAGCTACGCGTAGAAGAGGCGACGCGTCACGTGATGCGTCGCCGCCGAATGAATCTAAAATAGAGGATCTCGTCCGTCGCGCCGTCCTCGTCCCCCCACCGCCGCCCCCACCACCGCTCTCTCGACCGTCTGCTTCATCGCATCAGCACCCCGTCGTCATCCTCACGCCCTCGTGCGTGAGCATGTCGATCAACCCCGCGGGCGCCTGCGGGTGCCTCTTGACGCCGGTTTCCACCTCCTCGTCCGTGATGAGCAGTTGAATCTGTCGAAACGGCGGCTCGCCGCCGGCTTTCCGAACGCCGCCGTTGTGATGCTTCGCCTCGACGAGCCCCATGGACAGCAGCCCCTCGAACGCTCGCACGAGCACGGGCTGCTTCGCTCTGCCCGCCTCGCCCAAAAAGTCGTTCGACGCCATCGTGCGAAGCTCGCTCTCGACGTGTTTAAAGTTAAAACTCAGCATGCGCCGGATCCGGTGCAGCCTCGACATCGCGACGACGGCGCAGAGCTCCAAGACGCTGCTCGAGCTCAGCGAGCGCACGTACGTGTCCGCCATCTGCGTCTGCGTCGCGCGCGCGATGTCGTCAGCGGTGATCGTCCCGAGCGCGCGGTTCATCCTCGACAGCGTCACGAGCGCGAGATCCGCCGCGGCGCGCGGCGTGCACTCGAGGTATTCAAACTGCGTCAACGCGTTCGCCGCCGCGGGTTTGGATAACGCGTCGTCCAACGCGGCGTTAAACCGACGCGCGTACCCGGGCTCGGGCGGGTAGACGAAGACGCTCGAAATTTCTCGCTTCTTCTCGTCGTCCTCCTCCTCCGCCCCCTGTTTGTCGCACTCCGGGAGCCTGAGCGCGTGTCGGACGAGCGCCGCGGCTTTCATTCGTCCCGCGGGCGGCGCCAACAACACGCGGCGATGCGCGAACCGGCTCCGGACGCGCTTCTCGAGGAGCTCCACGGCGTCGTGGCGGCACGTCACGCCGACGACCGCGGCGCTGACGTGCGGTTGCTGCAGGAGGTCCATGATGCTGTACAGCAGCGTCTGCTTCGACGACGCGCCTCTGAGCGTGAAGAGGTCGAACTCCTCGAGGATGAAAATCACCGCGCGGCCGCCGCCTTCGAGCGCTCTCAAGACTTCGCGCATGAACGCGACGTTCTCCGCGAACCCGGCGGCGCGGTTGAACTCGAGCTCCTCCCCGGCGTCGCACAGCTGGCACGCGATCTCGCGCATGCCGACTTTCTCGTCCGAGTGTAACATCCCGGATAAGCGCACGGGTAACACCTTCTCGCCGTGCGTCGCCTTGAGCTCCTTCAACGCGCTGTCGAGCGCCGTCGTTTTTCCGCTTCCTCGCGCGCCCATGAGAAGCACGCTGTTGTTCTGGCCGCCCTCTATCGTGTTGGTGAGGATGTCCACGAGGTGTTTTTGATGCGAAGACAACTCCGGGCAGAAGCACAAGTCCGCGCGCGACGGCGCGTTGTCGTGATACCCGGAGAGGAGGCGCGCGCGGATGAATCGCGCCGCCGCGTCCCCCGCGCACGCGTCGACGACGGGCGCCGCCGGCCGCGCCGATTCCGGCGCCGGCGGCGTCGCCGGCGCGGGTTCCGCCGCCGCCGACGGCTTCGCCGGGGCCTTTGCCGTCGCCGTCGCGATGTTCAGCGACGCCATGATCGTCTCGTTGCGTTTGATGTTGCGCCGTCGCTCGCGTTCAAAGTCGGTGAGACCGACGGATCCGGGCGACGCGGAGAAGCGCGGCGGCGCCGCTTGCGTGGGCTGAATCATCATCATCTCGTCGTCGGCGGCGGCGGCGGCGGCGTCGTCGGCGGCGGCGTCGTCGTCGGCGGCCTCTTCCTCTTCCCTCTCTTCCTGCGTCTCCGCGACGACGTCGTCGTCCTCGAGCGCGGACCGCGCGACCGCAGCGCCGACGTCGGGGGAGACCGCCCCGCCGCCGCCGCTGCCGCCGCGCGGCGAGCGCCTTCGGTTCGACCCTCCCGGCGGCGTCGAGGTCGTCCGCTCCGCGACCGGCGGGGATGTCGCCGCGGGCGGCGCGAGCTGCTGCGTGGGTTGATAAAACGGCGCCGCGTCGTCCATGTCATCCTCGAGCTCGAGGGTATCGTCGTCTTCGTCTTCGTCTTCTTCTTCTTCTTCTTCGTCGTCGTCTTCGCGGTTTGAAGCCCGCGGCGCCGCTTGCGTCGGCGCGACGGCATCCTCCTCGTCGTCGTCGTCCGAGACGTCCTGCGCCGGCGGCGGCGCCGCTTGCGTGGGCTGGCACGACTCCTCCTCGTCCTCCTCTCCGCCCTCCTCCTCCTCCTCCTCGGAGTCGGGCTCCACTTCGATCACCTCCACGGAGTCGTCGTCGTCCTCCTCGAGATCTTTCAGGAGGTTCCTCGTCGGCGTGGATCCCGCACCCGCTCCCGCTCCCGCGCGACCCCCCGCGCTCTGTCTCCTCCGCGCGCTCGTCGACGGCGGCGGCGCCGTCGCGCGCGCGGACGCCGTGCGCGTGATGTCCAACGCGAACCTTCGCGCCGTGGACGCGGGCGCGACGGACGCGGTCCCCGGCGCGGCGAACGTCGCTCGGCGCGTCGATCGCTCCGCCGTCGCCGTCGCCGTCGCCGCCGTCGCGCCGCCGCCGCCGAACGGCGTCGCGGCACCGATCATCGCCCTGCGCGCGGCGGACGCGTCGCCGCCGCGAGGCGACGTCCGCCGCGTCGCCGTCCCCGGGGGCTCGTTCTCGCGCTCGTCGGACGGCGTCGCCGATCTCGGCGCCACCCCGGCGGTGCGCCCTCTCTTCGTCGTCGTCGCCGTCGCCGTCGCCGCGACGGCGACGGCGACGCTCGATCGCCGCGTCGCCGGCGTCGCCTCCGCGGACCTCCGTCGCTTCATGTCGACGTCGCGCGCTCGCTTCGACCTCCCGCGCGACCTCCGCCGCGCTCGCTCGCGCCGCTGTGCGCGTCGACGCGGAGAGATTTTTGTATTTTCTCCCGCCGCTGCCGCCCGGGTTGCCCGCTCGCTTCCGCGTCGGTTACGTTGAGTCTGCGGGTCAACTCATCGGTGACACGGTGAGTCGGTCGGTTACGCGCAAATTTGATCGTACGTTGTAGGGTCAACAACTTCGCGACGTTCGAGAACCTCTCTTTTAATCTCGCGGTGAAGTTCATAGCAACAAAAATGCAGCAGACTAAATGCTCTGTGGGGAGATCCTCATATGCCCCGCCCTTGTCCCGACCCCGCCTCCGACGTCAGGCGCTGTTTCGCGCACGCGTGATAGCCCGGATCACGGGTCACGCCACGTCCGAACTCACGATTCCCGACCGGCGGCCGCGCATCGCACTGTTTCGCGCGCGCTCCACGCTCGCGCGCGCCGGTTCGTACTCCCGCGAAGGCGCCTTCGAACGCCGCGGCATCGACACGCGCCGATTCCAGCGTCGAGCGCGACCGCGACCGCGTCGGAGGCGCGCCGTCGCCCTCGCGCGTGACGAGCGGATATTTGTGTCCGACGATTTTTTTGTCTGCACTTCGATGGGACGAAGGGACAACTCGCTCGACAAAGACGCGTGCGCGAGCGCGCTGGAGCGCGGGGAGCCGCGCGCGTCCGCGATGAGCGCGAAGAGCGCGCCCGCGGACGTCGCGAACGGCGTCCCCGACGCCGAGGGCGCGCCGAACTATCGAACCTCGGTGCGCGCCCTTTCGCGATCTTGCCGTTCGGAGAAGCAACCACCCAGAGACAAGACGTCGATTCTTCCGTCGCCCGCTCGCGCGTTGACCTCCTCGCGCGCGCCGCTGACGCGTTCCCTTCCGCTCGCGATTCTTCCGTTCGCAGATGAACGCCGTGATGCTCGACGACCTCGCGATCCCGACGCAAGCGATGAAACTCACGGGTGCGCGCGGTCCCCCGCGGTGCCCCCCGCGCCGCCAAGATATTTTCCAACTTCGGTCTTGTCGTACACGTCTACGATCGATCACGAATCGGTCGATCGATCGCGCGCGTCGCCCGCCTCCTCCGCTCATGAGACTGCTTCCCATACGACCGCGTTCGCGTGGTGAACGCCGTTCCTTAAGGACTTCGTCGTCGTCGCCGCCGTCCTCATCCTCATCCTCATCCTCATCGTCCCGTCGTCGTCGTCGTCGTCGCGCGACCCATCCGCTCCTCCCGCCCGCGCCCGCGTCGCCCGCCTCCTCCGCTCGCCTCCGCGATGACAGAAGCTGACGCCCCCCCGTCCGCCCCCTCCTTCGCCGCGACCGTCTCGCAGAGGAGGAGAAGCTCGTGCACATGCAGCGGAGCCACCAGGCGCGCAAGCACCGAACGCAGCACGACAAGACGGAGGAGGGGCGATGGGACGCGGGTCCGATCCCCGCGGAGAATCCGTCGAAACCGTCGCGGCGGAAGACCGTGCGCCTGGGACTGGGTTTGGACGGCAAAGCGGAGGTGTTCATCGTGAACAAGCGCGTCGGCGAGGAGTCCCCGGTCGGGAGCGCGATGAACCTCATTCACCCCGCGGACGCGAGCGGGCCGGGGGCGGGACCGTCGCCGTTCAAGCGAGACGCGGCGGACGCGGGAGCACCGGGGACGCGCTCCGCCGGCGACGGGTCCGTCAGAGCGCCGCGCGAGAGCAGCGGCGAGAGCAGCAGCGACATCACCGAGGAGGATGATGACATCGCGAGCGCGGTGAAGGCGACGCTGCGATCGCTGAACGAGTACGAGCACGAGCACGCGCCGGGGAGGGGGGACGAGAAAGCGGGGGCGACGCGCGGTTGGAACGCGGAGCTCGCGAGTCGCCAAAAGAGCAGGAACCTCGACGACGTGCTCAGCGCGAGCGACCGCGAGACGATGCTGAGGTGCGTTCTATACACTGGTTCCCATACGACCCCGTCGGCGTGGTGAACGTCATTCCTTGAGGACTTTTCCCGGCGCTTCTCTCCGCTCACCCCTCGCTTTCAATCCCGACACACCTCGACGCCTTTCAACTCCACCTGACGCCTATGAACTCCACCCCGACAATCGCTTTGTATGGAACGACCCTGAGGGAACTCCGCGTGGAGAAGATCCAAGGCGTCGCGCTCATGCTCGAGCACGCGAAGATGGACGACCTGGCGAGCTTCCTGAGCGTCGCGACCGAGTACGACATCGATCTGAACCACGTCCACGCGAGAAACCTCTCGGGGACGACGGCGCTGCACGCGGCGGCGGCGAGCAACGCGAGAACCGTCATGGAGTATTTAGTCACGAACGTGTGCGTCGACGTGAACGCGGAAGATAACTGGCGGCGGACGCCGCTGGACGAGGCGAACACGTTCGGGCACGAGGACGCGGCGCGGTACCTGGTGTCCGCGGGGGGCGTGACGTCGACGCGGCGGAGCTTCGCGTACGAAGGCGTCGACTTCCCGACGATGCCGCCCCGAGCGTCCGCGGGGCAGGAGAGTCTCATCGGGAGCGAATCGTACGCGAACCTGCAGGCGTTCATGATGAACTCGGCGAGCGGAGGGACAAGGTCGGCGTCGCTCCCCGGGAGCGCGTTGAACACCCCGGGGCAGAGCGGCCACGGCGACACCGCCGCGCTGAGGGCGCTGCACGTCAACGGCGGTCCGAGGACGTCGACGTCGCGGCTGTCGCAGGTCAGGGTGGCGCCGTCGCGGCCGGAGACGCCGATTTCGCAGCCGGAGACGCCGACGTCCGCGGTCGATTACCAGCAGCTGGATCGCTCCAACACCCCCCTGTCCGGCGGCGAGATTGACAACATTCTCGCGACGATGGACGCGTCCGTGACCAGCGAGAGGTTCGGCGGCGGCGTCGGCGGCCGCGGCGGCGGCATCGAGGACTGGGAGCTCCTCACCACGGACGTGACCGTGAACGAGCTCATCGGCGAGGGCGCGTTCGGGGAGATTCGAAGCGGTCACTGGCGCGGGTGCCCGGTCGCGATCAAGACGCTGAAGACCGCGGTCGTGACGGATCAGATCGCGATCAAGGAGTTCAACCGCGAGATGGCCATCTGGAGCAAGCTCGTGCACCCGTTCATCGTCCAATTTTTAGGCGTCGGGTACAAAGCCGGTCAGCCGCCGATCATGTGCTGCGAGCTCATGTCCGGCGGGTCCCTGCAGCGCCGTCTGCACGACCTAAAACTCGAAGGGAAGAACATGAACTTCGACGAGGGGTTCCGAATCGCGCAGAACATCGCGTCCGCGCTGACGTACATGCACTCTCGGAGGCCGTTCGCGGTGCTGCATCGGGATTTGAAGCCGGCCAACGTGCTGCTGACGGCGGAGGGCGTGGCGAAGCTCGCGGACTTTGGCCTGTCGAAGATGCTGTCGGTCAAGACGCCGCGGTCGCCGCGGTCGCCGACGCCGAGCCAGATGGGCTCGCCGGCCGTCAGCCCGACGGGGGACGATTCCGACAAGGACAGCCCTTTCAAAGCGGCCGGATCCGGACGCGGCGGCGCCGGACGCAAAAAGAGAGAAGGGTCCCCGGAGGAGAAGCGAGCGGAGATTTTCGAAGAGAAGGTGTACGGCCAGCTGTACGATCACCAGTTCTTGATGACCGGCGAGACGGGAGCGTACAAGTACATGGCCCCGGAGGTGTTCCGACACGATTTCTACGGCCTCAAGTGCGACCTGTACTCCTTCGCCATCGTCGCGTTCGAGCTCTTCGAAGGTTTGCTCACGCTCAGAGACCCGGTGTCGTGGGCGCACAGAGCCACGGGCGAGGAAGCGCTGAGACCAGGGTGGGCGTTCATGGCCGCGTACGGCACGCGCCGGTGCCAGATGATGACGCAGCTCGTGGAGCAGTGCTGGCACCCGGACCCGAACGAGCGGCCGACGTGCGCGGTCGTTTCGAAGATCATGAGGAACATCGGTCGGCTGTCCAAGTACGACAAGGCGGAGAAGAGCCCGGGCAAGGCGGGCGGGAAGCGAGCGGGAGGCCCAAAAGGGGCGAAAGAGAGCGGCGGTGCGGCGCCTTCGAAGGCGGAGGAGGAGCCGGCGCCGTCGTGCGGGTGCGTCGTCATGTGAGCGACGGCGCCCGGGAGGGGGGGGGGGCACCGCCCGACCCCCCAAAACCGCGCGGACGTTTTATTTTCGCCGCCAAGCCCGCGTTCGCGGGACGCGGACCCTAATATGATTGATACATACATACATACTAATATGATTGACAAACACGACCACCATCTAACCTCGCGCCCGTCGCTCAACGCGCGTCGCCTCCGGTCGCGTCGCCCGACTCCCCGTCAGCGCGCACGCGGTCGCCGATCGCGCGCAGCTTCCGACTGATGAGCTCGTACGACGTAAACGTGATCGCCGCCGCGGGCGTCGTCCTGATCAAGTTCGTCCCGACGCCTCTGTAGAACGCCCGCACGCCCCCACCCTCTCTATGTATCCTACGCATCAGACAAAACACCCCCTCGAACGGCCCGAACCCTCGCACGTGCATGTGCGAGCGTATCACCTCGTGCGGGTACGTCACGACGCTCGCGGTGAGTTTCGCGACGGCGCTGGCGACCATGAGCTCGGACGCGGCGAGATCCGTCACCCTGGCGCCGTCGCCCTTACGCCGCGCCATCTCGAGCTTGAGCTGCTCGTACACCGGGAACTGAATCGCGACGTGCGAGATCCCGAGCAACGACGGCGCGAGGCCGCTGTACGCGCCTCGTAAGCCCTCCTCGGTGGCGAGTCGGTACAGCCCGTTGGCGGTTGACGTGTACGGCGCGCGTCGGGGAAGGCTGCTCGCGAGCGCGGCGCTGGATTGCACCTGGAGGCGCGTCTTGACGACCCAGAGCGGGTTCGTCGTGAGGACGGTCGCCGCGCCCGCGCCGGCGGCGGCGAGCATGTGCCGCAGCGGCCGCGACTCGTCCGTCGGCGTCGGCGTCGACGTCGACGTCGACGCGGCGTCGGCGGCTCCGATCCCGTCTCCGATCCCGTCGCCGTCTCCGTCTCGGACGCGCTCTCCGCCCGCGCGCTCGCTCCCGCCCCCCTCGCCCGCGGCTCTCGCCATCGCGCCCTTCAAACCCTCGTACACGGTGAAGTACACCGCCCAGTTTGGCAGTAACGCCACGATCGTGGGCGTTAACCCGCGGTATAACGCCCTCGGCCCTTCGTTCTTCACGATGTGCGACAGCGACTCGTACGTGGAGACGTACGCGCGCGAACCCCCCGGCGTAACCTGCAGCCTCGTCTTCAGAACGTCCAGAGGGCACACGACCGTCGCGGCGATGACGCCCGCGCCCGCGCCGGAGACCGCGTTCGCGACGCGCGGGTCGAGGACCGCGAGCTGCGCCGCGCGAAGCGGCGACCGGACGCGGACGGACGCGCCGGGATCGAGCGCGGACGGCGCGGCGAACGCGGGATGGTCGCGCCGCGATGCCCGTCGCGACGACGACGCCGACGACGGCGCCGACGTCGACGCGGAGCGCGACGCGGCGACGCGCATTGCGACCGCCGCGGCGATCGCGCTCGTGCGCGTCGCGAACGCCGGTCGCGCGTCCGTCGCGCGCTCGCCGGTCGCGCGTCCGACTCCGGACGTTGATGCCGCCTCGCGCCGCGCCGCCGATCCGTCGCCCGGCGCCATCGCCCTCGCCGCCGTCGCGCCGGCGCGTATCGTGCCCGCCGCGCGTCCTCGGACGGTCCCCGCGATCGGGCTCGACCGTTCCTCGCCGCCCGTGCGCGTCCTCGCGCGCCGGGGAGTGCCCGCGGCGTCCGCGCGCGGCGACGTCTCGACGCGTCTTCTCAGCCGTCTATTCGCGCTCCGCCAGTGCACTTTCAGATGACTTTTCGCCAGCGCGCGCGTTTCGAGACCGCGCCGCGGCGTTCTTTTTCGAGTCCGTCTGCGGGTTTTCTCGTGTCGTCACAAGTCACTCGTCTAATAACAATCATCCCGTCCCCCATCCCCACCCCCCACACCCACCCCCACCCACCCCCCTCGCCTCCTCGACGCGACGCTCCATCACTCCAAGACCCCGCCGACGCCCGCGAGGTTCGGCGACCGCCTCGCGACCCACTCGACGACGTCCTTCAGAACTTTAAACCCGTGATGCGTCGCGATGTCGCGCATCACGCGTAAATCATCCGCCGCGCCCGTCGCGCTCTCCGTGCACGCGTACAACCCGCCGCAGACGCACCGGCTCCCGAGATGATCCCTCTTGATCTTCCGGTCGCGCGTACACCTCAAGTCTTGCAGCGCGGAGCACCGCATTCGCTCGTTGACGTGCGCGACGAGCGCGCCCTCGATCCACTGCGGGTCGTACGGCGCGTCGCAACCGACGCAGTCCCACGACCCTTCGTCCACGAGCCGTCGATCGCGGCACAGGTCCAGGTCGCGGCAGTCGCCGCAGTACCCGCACACGGCGTCGCGCAGGACGAACGTGACGCACGGCTCGCGGAACTCCGCCTGCGGCGCGTACTCCGGGACGCGGAGAAGCTTCAGCGCGTTCTTGCGAAGCAACGCGACGTGGCCCTCCACCGTCGTATCCAACGACAACGCCGCGCACAGCGTCTTGATAAACGCCAACGCGGGCGACCCTCGCAAATCTTTCGGGAGGTGCGCGCCGGGGGGCGTCGGGAACGCGTCCTGCGGCGACGCCCTCGCGCTCGCCCCGGGGCCCAGGTGCTTCTGAATCTCCCCCGCGAGACGCAGCACGCGCTGGGAGAAGTACCCCTCGACCTGAGCGCCGAGCCACGCGGCGCGTCGCTCCTCCTCCGCCGCCGCGGCTTCTCGGCGCGTCGTCGCGGGAAGACCGTCTTCTCGCTCGTGGTCCAAGTCTCCGTGGTGGTATTCTCGCTGCTGCATCATCTCCGGCGGCGGTTCCTCGTCCAGCGCGTCGTCGCCCTCGTCCTCGAGGTGCCGGTCGATCTCGCGTCGTCGCGCGGACTCCGCGGCGTCCTCCAATCCGCCGCCGTGCTCGTGCTTCCACGGCCGGAAGATAAACTCGCTGACGATGACCTCGAAGTGTTCGCGCAGCGACTCCGGGAGGAAGCTCGCGATGTTCCAGTGCATGTCCAGCGCGTCCGCGGCGTCCGAGGCGTCTCGCGCGTTCGTCGTCCCCGGGTCGAGCTCGACGTCGTCGGGCCCCTGCGTGTCGTGCCCGCTCCACGCGGCGGCGCCAGGAAGCGACGACGCGAGTAAACCGCCGTAGTCGTACGGCCCTCGGAACAACAGCGAGTGCCACTGCCGGCTCGGCTCGAGCTCGAGCCACGAGAAGAGCTCGCGACGGCGCAAGCTCGCGCGCAGTCCGTCCACGAACGCGGCCGCGGAGGCGAGACGCGTCTTCCCCGTCGCGATCGTGATCGTCTGCGTGTCCGCGTGCACGACGACGGCGCCGAGTTTTTTGACCTCGGCGAGAAGCAACGTGAACACCTTCTTCACGCACAGCTCGACGAGGTGCCGCAGCGCGGGCTCGCGCAAGGAGCTGAACGCGGAGAGCAGCCACCGTCGCAGCTGCCCGAGCAGCGCGTCCGCGTACGGGTTCCGTCGCTCCGTCGCGTCCACCAGCCAGTTGTTCACGAGGATTCGCAACGTCCGAAACGCCGCCGCCGCCTCGTGCCCGCCGCGGACTCCCTGCTCGCTCGCCGTCTTCCCTTTCCCCGCGTTCGCGCCGACGTCGTACCCGAGCAGCGCGCCCTGCTCTAGGTCGTTGAGCAAGTGCGCGTTCGCGATCGCGCACACGGCGAGGTGATGCGCCTTGAGCTCGACGCACACGCATCGGTACGCGCCGGGGTTGGTCACCTCGGCGCGGACGGTGCGCAACGCGTCGTCGAGTCCGCTCAGCGCGCCGTCGCTCGCGCCGCCGCCGAGGTCCGGGACGCCGCCGGGGCCGGTCCACAGGAGCTGATCCGCGTCGCGCAGCGCGCGCGCGAAGAAGGTGTCCGCGGTGTGCAGGCACCAGTCCGACCCGAGGTTTCCCACGGGGACGTGCGCGTAGCGAGAGATGGCGACGCGTTCGGCGAGCCATCCCCCGGCGGCTTGCAATCGCGCGGCGGCGAGCTTCGCAGCGTTGAGCTGCCACCCGAGCGCGGGCATCGAGCTCGAGTCCGCGGCGTTCGCGGGGACGACGACGACGGGGAGTCTCGCGAGCGCGGGGATCGCGACGCCGAGGCGGCCGGCGACGCCGTCGCGATGCGCGTCCGTCTCCGGCGCGCGTCCCGCGTCCGGCGGCGCCTCGACGAGGCAAATCGTCGGGCCCTTCGGATCCTCGAGATACGACGTGAGGTGCCTGCTCACCGCCGCGCCCGCGGCGTCGTCCGTGCCGACGTACTCCACGGTCCACTTCACGGGGACGGCGGCGGCGGAGTCGCCGTCCGCGCCGTTTCCGTTTCCGCCGCCGCCCTCGGTCTCGTCCTCCGCGAACAGCGCGGCTTTTGACGCGCGTTCGAGCGCCGCGGCGGTGACCTCGCGCGCGTCCGCCGCCGTCGCGCGTCGCCGCCCGCCGCCCCCCGCGCCCTCGCCCGGTTGCACGACGACGAGCACGGCCGCGCCGGACGCGGGGAGATGCAGCGCGTAGACGCCCTTATCCTTCGTCCCGGCGACGTACAGCGTCACGTGGCGCAGCATCCCGTGCGCGGCGTGCGCGGCGCCGGCGACGGGCGCGAGGGGCAGGTAGCCGCACTCCGCCGTCGTGCGCATCTCGAGGTCGTCGACGTCGTACACGCCGCCCGGGCCGTCGCTCGCGCCGCGCCTCAGCGTCGCGACGCACCCGACGCGCTGAATCGACGCCTCGAGGAGCGGGACGTGACGTTCGAACACGCCGATGACGTTCGGATCCGCGAGCAGGTCGACCACCTCGAGACCCGACTTGAAGTCGCTCTCGTCCATCTTCACCTCGTAGACGTGATCGGCTTTGCCGCCTCTGGGCAGCGCCGCGGCGATGCGGCGCTTGCCGCCGACGCCGAGGTCGCCCTCCTTATCCGCGACGCGCATCGCGACCGCGAGTCGTCTCGTGGCTCTGACGGACACCGCGTGGAGGGAACCGCCCGCGAGCACCCACACGGTGAACGCGCCGGGGCCCCCCCCGGCGGAGCGTTCCACCTGCACGAGCTGCCACGGCGCGTTCTGCAGCGTCCGCTCGCGCGACTCCACGAACGCGCCGAGGCCGCCGGGGCCCAGGAGTCGCGGCCCCGTGCGCATACCGCGACCGGGGGTCATCGCGCCGACGATCGCGCCGGACGCCGCCGCGAGCGCCTTCTCTTCCTCCAGCCGGCGACGCTTCCGCGTCGCGCGCTGCAGCCTCCACTTCGCCTTGCAGTGCTGCAGCCATCCGGCGTAGTCGACGCGCTTGTCCGGGGCGTCCCCGAACGCCTCGAGCGCTTCTCTCGCGACGTCCACCGGGTCGGGCGGCCCACGGCGCTTGCGGACGATCGCGGGCCCGGGGACGTCCGGCGACGGGCCGCTGCCCGGCGCGCGCGGCGCGGCGCCCCCCGCCGCGTTCTCCGGCGTCGTCGGCCATCGGTCGCGGTCGCCGCCCCCCCCCGGCGCGGCGTCCTCCGCGGCGCCGCGGAAGAACCGCCGCACGCGCGGACCGGAAGTCTTGCCGATCAGGGACCCGCCGCGGTCTCCGACGTCCTCCATGTCGAGCTCGTCGTCGCCGCCGCACCCGCCGCCGGTTTTGCCGCCGCCGCCGGGCGTCTTCTCTCCGAGCTCGGCGAGCCGCGCGTTGACATCCTTCGGCGCGAGCGCGGCGAAGAGGTCCTTCACCTTCCGCTGCTTGAACGTGTCGTCCTTCTCGCGAACCATCTTGGTCAGCCAGTCCGGGTGCGCGACTCTCGGGCACGGGTTCTTGACGTGCTGCAGCGCCGCCGGGATGGAGATGATCTTCTGAATCGCGCTCGACAGGCGCGTCGTGTAGTAGTCCCAGTCCACGAGCTGACGCATGTCCGGCACCTCGTCCGGCTCGCCGGGGGGATGATCTTTGAGCCAGTCCTTGAGGAATGAACGCGCGACGCTCGCCTCGGTCTGGAAGATGATCACGGGGACCGCGCGCTGCGACGTCGGCGCGCCCGCGGGCTTCTTCGTGATGATGTACTGCGCCTTGAGGCCCTTGTCTGTCATGACGTCGCCGCCGATGAAGGCGCCCAACCGCCGCGCGCACGTCGTAGCGCACGATTTGCGGTCGCCGTACTCCTCCAGCGACTTGCTCATCGTCGTCGCCTCGGAGATGTAATCGACCAGGTCTTCGTCCGTGAGGTGCTCGCCCTTCGTCTCGAGCATGTCCAGCCACTTGTTCGCGACGACGCCGACGGAGGCGTACACGCCCTCGAGGGTGTCGCCGTCGAGAAACTTCTCGAAGACTTCCTCTTGAAACGCCTTGATGAGCTTCAGCTCGCCGCGGCGCTTCACCTCGAACCCCTTCAGCTCCTCGAGCGAGCCGTCGAAGTTGAAGACGGCGTAGCGTTTCTTGATGAGCTTCCCTTCCTCTTTCGACGCGGGCAGGATCATCGCCTTGTACGGTCCGTCCACCTCGAACTCGATGGACATCTCCGACGACTGCTTGTACGTTCGCTTCTCCGGGTCCATGAGCGTCTGGTACTGGTCGTTCGTGCACTGCAACGCGGTGAGGCGGTTCAACACCGAGCACGGGTACGAGATCGTGAGCTTCTTCTTCCCGCTGCCTTCCTTCGGCACGAGGTCGAACTCCTCCGGGAACGACCCGGGGAGGCAGCACCAGATCCCGTCCGTGTCCAACTCGAGCGGTTTCCCGATGTCGTCCACGAGGCGCTTCGCCATCTGAATGATCTTCGCGCCCGTGTACGTCACGACGCCAGCCATCTCCATGGAGTACCACCGCGCACCTCTGCGCATGACGTACCCGTAGAACGAGTTCAAGATGCACTTGTGCGCGAGCTGCAGGGAGTCGTACAGAGTGACCATGTCCTTCGCCTGTTGCACCTCGATCGGGTTCCCGCCCTTCTTCGCGTCCCCGAGCTTCCCTTTCCACTTTTTGTTCAGGCCCTTGTACTCGTACCGGCGGTCTCGAAAGTTCATGACCGTGTCGACGTAGAAGCCGTTCTCGCGCTGGCAGATCCCGCCGATCCGCGACTCCGTCACCGGCTTATCGAGCACGCGCTTGTACACCTTCTGCGAGTACGACTTGAGCCGCGCCTTCTTCGCCGCCGCCTGCTCCTCGTGCGAGAGATCTGCCCAATACCTCGGCCCGTCGCCGCCGAAGCCGTCCGCGCGCGGCGGGAACTTCTCCGCCTCGAGCTGCGCCTTGATCGCGGTGTAGTCTGACGACGTCGCCGCGTAGTGCTCGCCGCGCCACAGCCACTCCATCTCTCTCAGGCACGTCTTCCCCGGTCGGTTGTAATCGCACGCGGCGCATACGTCCTCGGTGACCATCGCCGGCGGCTGCAGTCGGTTCGTCAGGATGATGTTCGGGTACATCGCCGCGACGTCGAGGTGGTAAATCAGCGGGTTCGCCATCTGCACCGGGTTATCCCGCAGCGATTCGAGCTTCGCCGCGATCTGCGCGCGGACCTCGTCGTAGTTCCCCACGTCCTCGCGTTCCATCCCTTTCCCCTCCGTCTTCAACGCGTACACGAGATCGTCGTCCAGCGAATCCAACAGCCCCTGATACCCCTTCGGCTGCATCCGGAACTTGGTCGGGATGTCCGCGCGGAACACCCCCGCCTCGAGCGCCTCGACGTGCCCGCCGATGTACGTCTCCGACTCGAGCAGGTGCCCCTTGTAGTGCTTCTCCCCCGCCGCCTGCTGCTTATTCGGGCACACGATGTTCCCTCGGTACGCCTGCACCATGAGCAGCGCCTCGCACAGCGTCCCGGACCCTTTCCTCAGCACCTCATCGGGGGACATCGGGATGATGGTCGCGAGCGAGAATATGAACGGGTGCACGTACGTCATGTACAGGTAGTACGTCGCGACGGCGTCCGATACGGAGTACGCCGCCATGGTCTGCGGCTGCTCTTGCGCGAACGGCAGCATGTCCTCGGGGTCAACCTCCACGGGGTTGTACCCGAGCTTGGCCTTCGTGACCGCTTTCAGGCCGTGCGACCCCGCGGGGAGGTACGAATCGCGCTTCACCCACGCGAACGCGTCGAGGTGCAGCGCGCTTCGCGAGCGGCACTCGCCGGTTTTGCGATCGCACTTGAACCCGAGTTCGAGGTACATCGACATGCCGTTCTTCTCCGCCCTCGTCTCCACGAATGGCCAGTCGAAAAAGTCGCCGTTGTACGTCACGTAGACGCACGGCCGCGTCTCGCGCATGTGATCGAACCACCGTCGAAGCAACCCAGCCTCGTCCTTCTCGTTCCACACGATGAAATCCCCGGGATACTCCGGCTTGGGCGAGTACTCGAAATTATCCACGTCGGCGCCCACCACGTCCCTGTTTATGATCAGATACCCCTGCCCGTCGAGCATGTACGAGATCATGAACACCTGGTCAAACTCCGCGTCCGGGAACTTCAGAGGCAGCTTCGTCGTCTCGATGTCGAACGCGCAGACGCGGACTTCGCCGCGCGCGAGCAGGTCCGGCCGATGCGTCAGCGTCACGTCCCCCGCGTTGGCCTTGACGTCGTACCACCACCCGCACCGAGTCTCCGTGTCGATGAGCCAACGCATGTGATACGGGACGTCGTACTCGCGGATGTCGATCATCGCGTCGCCGTAGTTGGCGATCGCGCGCTTACCCCCGGGCTTCCCGCCGCCCTTGTTGCCGCGGAGTTCGGTCCCCGCGTGGTGCGCGCGGCCGCCGCCCTGATCGGCGCCGTTCATCACCTCCATCTGATGCAGCGCCTCGTACGCCTCCGCGGCTTCGCATCGCGTCTGGTTCTTCTTCACCATCGGCATGACCTCGCGGCGGACGTCCATGAGGTCCTGGACCGTCGCGAACGACACCTTGACGTACGTCTGCTTCAGCCCGCTGAGGTGGTTCTTCAGATCCAGGTCTTCCTTTTGCACGAGCTCCACCTGCGCGACTTTGCCCTCGTACCGACGCGTCAAGAACGCCTCGACGTCGTGCTCGCATCCGTCTTTCGCGGCGACGAGAAAGTACGGCGCGTACCGCACCTGCGCCTTGAACGTCTCGCCGTCCTGCTGCATGAAGTAGCAATCAACGGCGCTGAACTCTTTCTGCGTCTCCGCGTCTTGGATCGTCGTCTGTCGATTCGTTTCGATTCAATTCGATTTCGCGGGGTGTCGGGGCGGGCGGGGAAAAAAAACGTCAGAGACGGCGGGGACGGCGCGGCACGGAGGACGCGATCAAGCGGGCGCGGGGTCGCGCCGCGCGCGTCGAGCGCGCGCGACGCGATCGTGCGACTCTCGACGCGAACGCGGCGCGTATCGCGACGACGCGGTCGCGGTCGAGGCGCGCGCCGCGCGCGGCGTCGGCGCGCTCCCGCGCGAAAATTTGAAAAGCGAGCGGCGGGTGCCAAGATCGAGCGCGCGCGCGGGCGGGGCGGTGACGCGTCGAGACGACGACGACGACGACGACGACGACGACGACGACGACGCGCGCGCGCGCGCCGCGAGGAGGGAGACGGGGACGGGACGCACCGCGCAGACGTTCATGAGCCACCCGAGGCGCTGCTCCCCCTCCGTGAACGCCGCATACCCGAGCGTGGCCTCGAGCGCGTCCTCCTCCTGGGCCATCTGCAGCCGGCTCTTCTCGCTCTTCCAGTCGCCGCCGCCGCCGCGACCGCCGCCGCGTCCGCGTCCGCGGCCTTGCCCGCGGCCGCGGCCGGCTTCGCCGTACATGTTACCCTTGCTCCTGCCGGCGGTGCCGCCGCTGAACGCGGGAGCGCCCATCGCGAAGGACTAGCTAGACCTCGATCGCGCGAAGTGCGTCGCTCTGCTCTGGGCGGGCGAGACGGTCGGTCCCTCGCCGAGCGCGCGCTGCGACGGCGAGCGACGCGCGACGCTCGCGTTCGTCCGGTCCGGTCCGCGCGCGTCCCTTTCCTCTCTTCTTCGCGGCGTGTCGCCGTCCGCGCCGACGTGCTTCCCTGAGCCCGCGCGCGCGCGTTGTGCGTCTCCCTTCGCGCGCGCCGAGGACGACGAGATCTGCGATAGAATTTTTAAATGTCGAGCAGTCCGAAAGAGGCAATTGAGCGGGGGATCCCCTATCAAAATGGTTTGAAAGGGCATTTTGAAAGAGGATATGCGTTTTGAAAGGGCGTGACCGAATGTACTTTCGCCACTCCGCTAAACTTCTGTTAGAGTCTACGATTCGAGACGACTCTCGATGATCTCGTCCGCGAGCTCCGTGAAGTCGTACACGTTCCCCTCCCGCATCTCCGGCGCGAACATCAGCGCGCCCCCGAACCCCGCGCCCACCGCACCCTCGACGTCGTTCACCACGCTGTCGCCGACGTGCACCGCGCTGGACGCGTCTCGATCGAGGGACGCGCCGACGGCTTCCAGAGCGGCGGCGAAGATTTTTCGATCCGGCTTGTCCGCCATCACCTCCGCGGAGACGATCACCGCGTCCAACGACGACTCGTCGAACCCGCAGTCGCGCAGCAACTTCGGCAAGTGCGTGTCCCAGTTGCTCACGACCGCGACCTTGACGCCGTGCGCTCGCAACGCGCGAAACGCCTCCCTCGCGCCGTGCGCGACGCGCCAACTGCGCGGGTCCTCGTAGTGCGCGTATAAGTCGTCCAAAACGCCCTCGAGCTTGGCATTACCCTCGATCTCGTCCGGCGCGACACCCATCGCGCCAGCCACGAGCGGCCTCCAAAACGATTTCCCGTCGCCGACGTACCGAACGTTCGGATGCGACGCCGGCGGCGGCGCGGAGAACCCCGCGCGAATCGCCGTCTTGGCGCTCTTCTCGGTGACGCCTTCGAACCCGCGCGTCATCGCGAGCCGCGCGTACGTCTTCGCGACCGGCTCGATCGGCGCGAGCAAGCATCCGCCGACGTCGACGGTGAGAATCTTCCACCCGCCGCGGGGCGCGGGCGGGAGTAAGGGCGGGCGAATGGACGCGTCCGGGACGTCGTACGGGTACCGGCCCAGCGGCGACAACGTCCGTCGAATCTCGCGCGTGAACGCGCGGTGAAAGTTCGCGTCGACGCTCGACGCGGACCCGGATAGGTTCAAGACGCCGTTCAAGTTGTGCGCGTAGTCGTACTTCCTCCCGACGGCGTCCGTCGTGCACCCGCCGATCGCGCGGAGTAACGCCTCCCCCGCGCACGTGTCCCACTTTTTCGCGCCCTCGCGCAACAGCATCGCGCCCTGGGCTTCGCCCTCCAGGAGCATGAGGTAGTGATACCCGCTCGCGCTGACTTTAAACCCGACGCGCAGCGACATCGCGGCGATGACCGCCTCCGTGCGGTTCTCCTTCCACGTCCGGTTCACGCACACGGAGATTCGCTCGCCCGCGTTCGGAGCGGCGACGCGGACGCGTTCCGCGGATTCGATCGACTTAGGGCCATTCCATACAAAGCGATGTCGGGGTGGAGTTCATAGGCGTCAGCTAGAGTTGAAAGGCGTCGAGGGCGGGGATTGAAAGCGAGGGGTGTGCGGCGAGAGACGACGGCAAAAGTCCTTAAGGATCGGCGTTCACCACGCCGACGCGGTCGTATGGGGACCAGTGTATAGAACGCGCCTTAACGCCGCCGTCGCTCAACCCTCGCACGCCGACGCCCCGCCCGCCCCACACGTTCCTCCCCTCGCGCCCGTCGCGCGCGTAAAACGGCTGACCGATGACCCCCGCGACCGGGGACCCGTCCACGGCGACGCCGTACAGCGACGTCACCGGCACGCGCTCGCCGGCGGCGAACTCGTTCGTGCCGTCGAGAGGGTCGACGTAGACGACGACGCGCGACGCGTCGATCGGCGATTGGAGGTGCGGCGGCCACGCGCCGCGCGTCGTCGCGCTCAAGGCTTCCTTCGCGTCGTCGGACGTCGCGGTCGCGACGCCGAGGGCGAGGCCGCCGGCGAGGAGGCGCGCGCGAAGCGGCGGCTCCGTCGCGGTGGCGGCGTCGACGATCGTCGCGTCGTCGTCGCCGCCGCCGCCGCCGCCGCGTCCTTCACTCATCGCGCGCTCGTAGCTCTCCTCCGCGACGACGCGCAGCGCGGGGCAGTACACCCTGAGCGCCTCCAACACGTGCACCTCCACCCTGCGGTCCGCCTCCGTCTGCGCGTCCATGACGTACTCGCCCCCCGCGTCGCGCGTCCCTCCCTTGTCGCGCACGCCGAGGTCCGGTCGCGTCCTCGTCACCTCTCGGATAATGGCTTGGCCCTCGAGCGAGAGGTCCAAGAGCAGCGCGACGAGCTCCGGGACGGAGACGAACGTCCGTGGCGGCGTCGACGGGTCGTTTTGGTCCTCCGCCTCGTCCACGCTCGCGTCGAAGCCGCGGATGTCGTCCGAGAAGGACGTCGACGCCGTCGCGACGAGACGTCGTCGCGGTCGCGACGAGCGCGACGTGTCCTTTACCGGGTGGATTCGCGAGGGGCGCCGCGCGGTCGCGAGGAGCCGACGATGGAACGGCGGCGGCGGCGGCGGTCGAACGCGCGGGGCGCGCGCGTGCAGCCGGACGGCCGCGCGCGCAACGGTCATCATCGCTCGCGCGCTCGGGGTACGTGTAGTGGTGGCCAGACGCGAACCCGGATCTCGTGGTCGACGAGACGCAGAGTTGCGAGATCCGGAGATCGCTGAAGGTTCACTGAAGGTTCAGGTGCTTTCAGTACAAAACTTTCACCCACGCGGTAGTTTCAACATTTGATCGCGTCCCCTTTCAACTTACCGATGAACTTTTTGGCCCTCAACAGTCGTCGTTCAACCTTCGCCCCCGACAGCTGGGAGAAGCGCGCGTGACGTTGACGCGAGGCGTTCGTTCGACGTCCCGCGGCCGCGGGGCGCAGACTCGACCGCGCGAGCGACGCGTCGACCGCGGCGGCCGCGTCGTCTCCCCGGGCGAGGGAAAGGCGAGCGCGCGCGTCGACCCCCGCGCCTCGCGCCGCGCGAGTAGGGTCGCGACGGCGCGTCCGCGGTTCAAGGCACCGTTGCGAATTCCTTCCTCCTCCTCTCGCGGTAGTTCGTCAGAGATCTGACCGCGATGACGACGACGGCGGGCGGGCGCCGCCTCCTGGAGCACTGCTTCACGCAGTTCGGCGCGACGTCGGAGACTGGCCACGAAGACGCGAACCATACGCACTCGGGCGCGAGCGACTGGGAGGCGACGCACAGCGTGCACGTGGACCCGTACACCGTCCGCCTCCTGTACTGGACCGCGCACGTCCTCTTCGCCGCGCTGATGCTCATCCTCATGCTCCGCCTGTGGCCGCCGCCGGACCGCGTGTTCCCGCGGAAGCGGCCCGTGTGCCGATGCCTCCCGTGGTGCTGCGCGGGGAGGATGCTCGGATACGGCGTCATCGACTGGCACGAAGGGCGCCTCACGCCGTTCGTCCGGTACTTCAAAGAGCGGCACGACCTCCTGTCGCTCTACTTCGGCGACTACGACTTCATCACGTTTCGATGTCGGCTCACGCACTTCGCCGCGGGCATCGTGTGCACGGCGGCGCTCTCCATGGGGCTCACGGACCTCGCGACGTCGCAGATCACCGGGGACTTTTGGACACACCAGATATGGGTGTTTCTCGCGCTGTTCGTGTACGACATCGTGCTGGGCATCGCGCTGCGCGTCAGCGCGGTGGGCACGTCCGAACGCGCCGTCGCCGCGACGGATTCCAACGCGCGGAAAAAATACGAGTGGAAATACTTTGGCGCGTGCGCGCTGTTTTCGCTCGCGTGCGTGTTCATAAGCGTCATGTTCGTGCACGTCATGGACGAGGCCGGCGGGTGCGGCGACGGGTTTAACACGTTCCTGGCGTACATGTACATCTTCGGTCTGTACGAGATGTTCGGCTGGTTGCTTCTGCACCCGGCGGTGATCACGTTTCGATGGGTCTTGGGTCGGGTGTTGCTTCGCGTGGGGACGGACGCGGAGGACGACGACGAGACGATGGACTGCTGCTGGAAGAAGTGTCCGGGCGGGGAGAAGGCGTGCGCGTGCCGGCCGCAGCCGAGCGCGCCGGTGCACGCGTTCTTGCTCGCGTCGTGCAGCGTCGGTCGATCCTCGTCCGCGTCCGCGTCCAATCGCGGCGGCGGCGACGGCGGCGGCGGCGGCGACGACTTTTCGTTCCGCGGCGGCGTCACGCCGAGGGCGAGCGATGGCGCCGCGCACTGGGACGAGGAGCTAGGGAGCCCGCGGAGCGGGTCCGTCGTGTCCGACGGCATGGAGCGCGCGCTGGGGACGTCGCGGGTGTTATTCTGGCGAAGAAACGCGGCGGCGCGGCAAAAAGAAAAAGCCGAAGACGCGGTGCGCGCCGCCGTGCGCGCGAAGAAAGAGGCGGAGACGCTGCGCACGGAGCTCGCGGACGCGATCGCCGCGGAGACCGAGGCGGCGGCCGCGCAGGCGCAGGCCGAGGCCGCGGTCGCGGAGGCGAGAGCGCTCGCCGCGGAGGCGAAAGCGCTCAGAGCGCTGATGCCCGCGCGCAGGAAAAACGCGCCGCCGATCGAGCTCACGCCGCCGTCGCCGCAACGGTTCGCGGGCGGCGGCGGCGGCGGCAGCGGCCGGTCGTCGCGCGGTGCCCGCGCGCGGTCGCCGTTCGTGCGGAGCGGGAGCGTGAGCACCGACGGCGGCAGGACGCCGCGCGGTGCGGTGCGGCGGATGTGGGACCGGTTCAGGAGCAGCCCGACGCCCGGGTCGACGGGGAGCCCTTCGAGCGGCGGACGGCGCGCGGCGCCGGCGCCGGCGTCGGCGACGCCGAAGACGCCGAAGACGCCGCTCGGGGGGACGCCGACGTTGGTCGACCGCGAGGTTGTAGACCCGGAGAAGCTCGAGATTCAGTGGGAAGAGACGGAGGGTGGGGATCACGGCGGGGGGGAGAGGGATTCGCCGGACTCGCCGCTGCCGGCGAACGCGTCGAGACGGTTTCGAAAACGCCGCGACGAGGACGAAGAAGAGTCGCCGTGAGGGGGAGTTTCAGTTCAGTTTCGTTTCGTTCGTTCATCACAAGTAGAACACGTACAGTAATGGTCGGTTATGTCTTCGACAGGACGTATTTTAATCCGAAAGTTGGATTCTTCACTCGAGACGCGCGCCCTGGTCGCGCGTATCGGAGTGGCGCCCTCGGAAGAGGAGTTGAAGAAAAAACAACGACGGCGAACGAGACGAACGAGAGGCTCATCACGAAACTCGAAAACCCGCCGAGCTTCTCCCGTCCGCGCGTCGCGTCAGGGCTCGCGCCTTTCGCCCGACACCGCATAACACGTCGCGCGGGGCACGACGCGCGCGCTCCACTCCCGCGCGCGGTCGACGTCGCCACCGAGACGCGCGCCGAGCCGTCGAGCGACGGGGATGCCACGCCGTCGGGCGCGTCGCGTCCATCGCTAACATCGTCGCGTCGCGGCGTCATTGAAAAAAAAAACCTCGGAGCGCGCGAGCGCGAGATCCGCGATGGGGCGCCGGAGGCCGCCGAGCGAGCCGTCCAGCTTCGACGCCGAGCTCGCGCCGAGCTTCGGCGCGCTCGCGTGCGAGGCCGCGCGAGGTGCGTCCCCGACTCGACTCGCCGCGACCCGCCGTCGCGTCGCGTCGTCCCTCCCCGGCGTCCGTCGGATTCGAACGACGTCGCCGCGAGCGAAACGACAGCTGGTCGACGAGCGAGCGCCCGTCTTGACCGTCCGCCGTCCCCTCCCGTCTCCCGCCGCAGTCGTGCACAACCGCCGCGCGTCCGAGAGCAAGAGCCGCCGCCGCCGCGCCTCCGGCGGGTTCGCGCCGCTCCTCGCGAGCGTCGCGCGACGATTCGCGCTCGTCTCGTCGTCGTCCTCGGACGACGACGACGACGAGGAGGACGGCGACGACGTCGAAAAAAAAAAGGCGTCGCCCGCGCGGCGACGAAAAGCGACGCGAGGCTCCAGCGGCGGCGAGGCGACGATGACGCGCGTGAAGGACGCGGAGCACAAGGCGCAGACGCCGACGGCGGCGGAGCTCGCGACGCGGACGCCGTCGCCGTTCAAGTCGTCGTCGCTGAGCGTGCACGCGCTGAGCGACGACGGCGCGACGACGACGACGACCGCGACAGCGAGCGGCGGCGGCCGGCGACCGCTCGGACGACGCTCGAGCGCGACGACGACGGCGTCGTCGTGGGACGCGGACTTCGACTCCGGTTCCAACTCTGACGCGGACGCGGACGCGGACGCGCCGGTGGTGTCCGCGACGAAGCCGTGGCCGCCGGAGATTCTCGCGGAGTACCTCTCGACGCCGCGGTCCGCGTCTCTCGCGTCCGCGTCCGCGTCCGCGTCCGCGTCCGGGTCCGCGGCGGACGTGGTGGACGTCGAACGGCTCGTCGCGCGCGCGCGGCCGCACGACCTCACCCCTCGCGCGGACGAAGCCGAGCGCGCGTCGATGCGCGTCGTCGCCGGGTACGCCGCCGCGGGGCCGCTCGCGGCGGCGTCGCTGCCGTCGTGGGACTCGTTCGAGAGGGAGCCGGAGCCGGGCGCGGGCGGGGAGGAGGCGACGGCGACCGGGACGGGGACGGGGGGCGGCGCGGTCGGGGAGCGCGCGGTCGTCGCGGGTATCGCGCCCGTCGGCGCGGCGGCGCCGCCCGCGACGGCGCGACCGTCGACTCCGCCGCCAGCTCCCCCGCCGCCGCCCCGCGGCGGGCTCGGGAACCCTCAGCCGCCTCCGAGCGGCGGAGCGAAAAGGCCGCCGCCGCCGCCGCTGGGTGCGCTCGCGAACCCTCCTCCTCCTCCGCCACCGCCACCACCGCCGCCGAGTGGTCTGGCGCGGCCTCCTCCTCCACCACCTCCGCCGCCGCCGGGCGGTCTGGCGAAACCTCCACCTCCACCTCCGCCGCCGCCTCCTCCCTCGAGACTCGGCGGCGCGCCTCCGCCGCCGCCGCCGAAGCCGCGGTCGCCGATGAAGGGCTTCGTCCCGCCGCCGCCGCCGCCGCCGCCGCCGCCGGGAAAGGGCGCGCTCAAGGCGGCCCCGATCCCTCCGCCGCCGCCGAACGGTCCGCAGTCGCCGAACCGGAAGCCGAACCCCGCGGCGGCGTTGCGGTGGCGGCAGCTGCACTGGGAGGTCATTCCCGTGATGCGCATACGCGGCACGGTGTTCGAACGTCTGCGCGACACCCCCGACGACGAGGCTGGGATCGACCACGACTCGCTGAAAGGGTTGTTCAGTCAATCGAACGCGCGGACGGCGGCGGCGAAGACCGCGGCGGGGGGTGGAGATGATAACGGACCAACCGCGGACGTTACGAAACCGACGGGTCCCGGCAAGCGCGCGCCGGTGATCACCCTCCTCGACCTCAAGCGCGGGTCGAACATCGAGATCATGCTGTCGAAGATGAACCCCGACGTGGAAGCGATCGCGCGCGCGGTGCAGTCCATGGACGCGGCGGCGTTAGACGCGGAGAGCGTCGCCGGGATGATCCGATTCTTACCCACCGCGGACGAGTGCGTCCTCGTCAACGCGTACGAAGGCGACGAGCGCGCGCTCGGGAAGGCGGAGCGGTACTTCCGCGCGCTGACCGCGGTCCCGGGGTTCGACAGCAAGCTGAGAGCGCTGGAGTTCAAGCAAGGGTTCGCGTCCGCGATCGGCGCGGTGCGGGACTGGACCGAGTGCGTCGATCGGTGCGCGACGGAGCTGAAGCAGTCGTCGCGGATGGGCCGGCTCATCGCGCTCGTGTTAAATTTGGGAAACGCGCTCAACGCGGCGAGAGGCCCCGCGCACGGGTTCGCGCTGTCGTCTCTGCCGAAACTTCTCGACACGCGCTCGTTCGACGGAAAGACGACGCTGCTGCACTACCTCGTCGCGCACTTGGAGAACACGCCGAAGGATTTAGACCTCCTGCAGTTCACCGCGGACCTCCCCTCGCTCGAGCGCGCGTCCCGTCTGACGTTTGCGCAAATCGAAGAAGAGCTCGCGCCCCTGCACGCGGGCCTGCGCGCGCTGTCCGAGGAAGTCGAGGCCGCGACGAAGCGCGTGACGTGCGAGAGCGTCGTCGTCGAGGCGTTCCCGGCCGCGGCCGCGGACGCGGAGGACGCGAAGGACGCCGCCGCGGAGAGGGCGTTCAGAGAGGCGCTGGTGTCGTTCCACGCGGACGCGGCGGCGCGCCTCGCCGAGCGCGTGGCCGCGTTGGACGACGCGAAGGCGAGCTTCCGCGAGGCCGCGAGGTACTACGGCGAGGACGCGAGCAAGATCAAGATCGGTCGGGAGCCGGAGCGTTTCGCGAAGGTTGTCGCGGACTTTGGCGCGCTCGTGGCGACCGCGCGAAGGGACAGGGGAAAGGTGAAAGCCGCGGCGTCCGCGTCGCCGAAAGAGAAGGAAAACGCGGACGACGCGGGGACGGAGCGACCGCCGAAGAAGAAGCTCAGCTTCGCGGGCGGCGACGGCGGCGGGTCGTCGCCGGAGGGCGGGTCCGACGGCGGGAGCCCGACGCTGCCGCGAATCAAGATCGGGAAGAAACGCGACGACGACGACGACGACGAGGGGCGGAGACGGTTCACCGTCGTGGACATGTTGAAGGACATCAAGGAGGGCGGGGACAGGGTCGGCGGGTTGCGTAAGATCGGCTCGCCGAGCAAGCGGCAGAAGAAGCCGTTCTGGAAGAAAGAGGCGGACGAGCGGGTTGCGGCGGCGAAGACGTCTGCGCTCGGGAAGGAAGCGCCGCCGACGCCGACGCCGGCCGGCGGAGGAGGCGCGGGGCCGCCGCCGCCGCCGCCGCCGCCGCCGCCGCCGCCGCCGGGGGGGAAGATGCTGGGGAATCCCCCCCCGCCGCGCCGCCGCGCCTGGGTTGAGACGCGCCGCGACCGACAAATAGATGCACGCGCACACTAGCAGCGTAGAGATGTAAACGTAGACGACGACACGACGAGAGAGACTCCTTTCGTACTCGTTCGTTAACCTCGTTGTTATTCGTTTTTCCGCCGCCCCAGCCCCATCGTCCGAGTCAGATGCATTTGCTGTTCGTCCCTCATCAACCCTCGAGCCGATACCGGCGGGGTTCGTCCCTCAGAGTCGCCGCGCGCGATGACCTCGACGCTCGCCGCGACCGGCGCGGCCGCGGCCGCCGCGCTTCGCGCTCGCGCGCCCCCCCGCGTCGCGTCGACCGCGCCCGCGCCCGCGCCCGCGCCCGCGCCCGCGAAGCGAGTCGCCTCCGTCGGCGCGCGTCGTCCGATGTTGACGCGCGTCGACGAAATCGCGCCGTCGTCGCCCATCTCGACGCGCCGCGTCGCCGCGCGCGCGAAAGGCGACGGCGTGATGGGCGACGCGGAGGACCTCATGCGCAAGTACGGCGACGCCGCGAGCGCGACCGGGCAGTTCATAGGCAAACAGGCTGGGATGAAAGGCGGTGGCGCGCCCGCGCGACGCGCGAGGTCGTCGAGGGATGGCAACGGCGACGGCGTCTTCGCGCTTCTCCTCGTCAACGTCGCCGCGTTCGTCGCGGACAACTGGCTGCGGCTGCCCGTCATGCGCGCGCTGTACCTGAACCACATGCACCCGCAGTGGTGGCAGTTCGTGACGAGCATATTCTGTCACGCCAACTGGGCGCACCTCAGCGGGAACATCTTCTTCCTGTACGTCTTCGGGCGGATCGTCGAAGAGGAGGAGGGGACGTTCGGGGTTTGGTTCTCGTATTTATTCACCGGGGTGGGCGCCGGGGTGGCGTCGTACCTCGTCCTCCCCAAGGCCGCGGGCGGGATGCTGGGGCTGGGCGCCGCGGCGACCGTCTCTCTGGGCGCGTCGGGCGCCGTGTTCGGTGCGTCGCTCGGTCTCTCGACTCGCGGCGCGCGTCGGCGTCTCGTCGTCTTCTCTCTACGATGGATCCGATCCGCCGCTGACGCCGGAGCGACCGTCCCTCCCTCCCTCTCCCTCTCTCCTCCGTCCGTCCGTCCGTCCGTCCCGCCAGGCTTGTTCGCGATCAGCGTCCTGACGAAGATGAAGATGAACTTCAGGAAGCTCCTCGAGGCGGTCATCTTGGGCCAGTTCGTGATCGAGCGTTTCCTCTCCGAGGCGCGGATGGCGTCCGCCGCCGGCGGCGTCGGCGCGGGGGGCGTGAACCACGTCGCGCACTTAGGTGCGTTCTATACAAAAGTTTTTCACCCATCTCCCGGTTTCAACATTTGATCGCGTCCTTTTTCAACTGACCGATGAACTATTTTTGTATGGAATGGCCCTTAGCCGGCGCGCTCGTGGGGGTGCTGCTGATTTGGGGGCTGCAGAGGATGCTGCCGCCGGAGTGAGCGCGCGGGATGAGCGGTGCGATGACGACGTACGTCGCGCGTAATATTCATCACTCAAATCGTTACAACCCGAACCCTTATCGATCGCCCTTCGGCGCGTATGTCGTCCAGTCGCGGGGGCCGCTGTTTTTCAACGACGCCTCCGCCTCCCTCCCCGGGGTTCTCTCCTCTCCTCTCTCTTCTCTCCTCTTCTCTCTACGACCATATTCGCACGCCGCCGCCGCGAATACCACGCCCGCGAATACCCCGCCCCTCAAAACACGCCCACGAGCGTCGCGAGCGCGAAGACGATGAACAACACCCCGCCGGTGATCCCAACCTGTCGCTCCGAGATGCGTTCGCTGAGGGCCGTTCCATACGAGCGAACGTCGGGGTGGAGTTCATAGGCGTCAGTTGGAGTTGAAAGGCGTCGAGGGCGGGGATTGAAAGCGAGGGGTAGGAGGAGAGATGCGCCGGGAAAAGTCCTTAAGGATCGGCGTCCACCTCGCGAACGCGGTCGTATGGGGACCAGTGTATAGAGCGCGCCTGAGCAGCGCGCCGCCGACGACGGCGATGGACGTCGCGAGGAGATGTCCGACCGTCGCGCCCGTCGCCACCCCGAGCGGGTTCTGCGCCGCCCCGAGCGCGATCGTCGCGAGCATGCTCCGATCGCCCCACTCCGCGATGAACACCAGCGTGAACGTCTCCCAGTAGTTGGCGAGCCACCTCGACGCGGCGTTTCGCTCGGAGCCCGTTCCTCCGCGTTTGCCCGCGGCGGCTTCTGATTCGCGCACCGCCTCCTCCGCGTCCGCGAGCTCGCCGCCGCACGACGCCGCGTCGTCCGCGTCGCACTCGGGCGCATCCAGCGCTTCCTTCAGCGTCCGCACCCCGAAGAAGAGCAGCAGTGCGACGGCGAGGTACTCGCCGACGGGCAGCGACGTCGTCATCGCGCTCGGGATCTGTTGAAACGCGCGGCCGATGGCGACTGATATCACGGACATGAGCCCCAGCGCGCTCGTCGCGCCGGCGAGGACGACGACGCGACCTAAGCGCATCGCGAGCAGCGCGGCGATGAAGAAGGTCTTGTCGCCGAGCTCGCTGACGAAGATGAGCGCGAACGCCGCGGTGAATCCAGACTTGGCGAGCGCGGCGACGGCGGCTTGGCCGAACATCGTGTTTCGAGACAGGAACCATCCCGCCGCGGACGCGACCGCGAGCGCGAGCGCGAGGATCGCGGGCGGTCGCTTCGACGGGCGTCGAGATCGCGCGTCGTTCGCCGGGGCGACCGCGGACGCGCTCGCGGCGCACGCGCGCGTTGGGGCGCGCCGCGCGTTTCCGTTTCGGCGGCGTTCTCGACGCGCCGCGCGGGGCTGGACCGACGTGGACGCGACGCCGCCGGCGGCGAGCCGTCTCGCGCGCGTCGCGTCGCGCGCGCCGAGAGACGCGAACGACGACGCGAGCGGCGCGCGGCCGGAGCGCGTCGCCGCGGGCGCGTGGCGCGCGCGGTCAGACGCCGCGAGACGCGGCGCGACCGAGGCGGCGCGCGCGGACGTCGACGCGAGCGTCGTCATGAGTCACGACGGGCGGCTCGCGCGAGGAAACCTAGCTTGATGATTCCTCGAGACGCGTAATGCAGTGCGCGCTCGCCCTCTCTCTCGCGCGCGCCGCGTGAAGCGCGTCGACGCCGACCCTCGCGATGCGTCCGGGGGAGCGTCGAAGACGTCCCGCGCGCGCGCGTGTGACCGAGGCGTCGCGGACGCGGCCGCCCGAGCGAAAAGCGCGGACAAACACCGTTATCTTAAAAGTGCCGTGTGCCGTGTGCCGTGTGCCGTGACGTGTGCCCGCCAGATCATCAGATTTGACCCCGGCGTCGGCACGGCCGACCGATCGATTTCATCGGTGAATCTGGTTCTGTTTTCCTCGGACGCGGAGACGACCGGAAGCGCGAGCAACGAGGGCGGCGGCGGCGCGTCGTCCGCCCGCCACACCGCCGCGCGCGCGCGCATGCCGCTGTTCGGCTGGACCTCCCGCGCGCGCGATGCCGCCGCCGCCGCCTCCGCCGCCTCCGCCGCCGCCTCTCCTCCTCCCGCGCCGGCGACGCCGACGCGCGGGAGTCGCGACGCTCGTCGCCGCGGTTCGAGCGGCGACGTGGTACTGTCGGTGGACGCAGATAACGCAGCTGTCTCTGTACCTCGCGAGCTCGGCGCGGGCGAGCGCGCGCGCGCGTCGACGCCGCCGCCGCGGCTGAGCGCGGAGGAGGAGGAGGAGGAGGAGGAGGAGGAGGACGCCGTCGACGTCGAGCTCGGGGAGATACGCGTCGTCCCCGCGGACGGCGCGTCGTCCGAGAAAGAGAAGGGAAAAAAAGCCGAAAAAAAAGACGACGACGAGGAGCGCTACTGCAGGATATGCATGGAGAGGATCGCGCGCGCGGAGCTCGACGCCGGGACTGCGACGTCGCTCGGGTGCGCGTGCGTCGGCGGGTTCGCGCACGTCGACCCCTGCGCGGAGCAGTACGCGAACGCCAAGTCGGACGCCACGTGCGAGGTGAGAGTTTTTTTTTTGGCTTATTTTTTGGTTTTGGTTCTCTCGAAACACCTCACCCTCGCGCGCGCACAGCTGTGCTTGGAGAACATGGACGCGCTGGACGCCATCGTCGCGAAGCTGCGCGCGTCGAGACGCGGTCGCGCGCGAGGACGACGCGCGATCTTGGTCTTGAACGACCTCCCGACCGGCGCGGGGGGTCGAGCGATTCGCTCGAGAGAAAACGACGCGCACGGAGACCCCGTCTTTGACGTCGAGGACGCGCGGCTGTACCGCCCGGGGTGGGGGAGTCGGAACCCGGGGATGTGGCTGTTGTGGATCATCACCCGGCCGTTCGTGCTGGTCGCATACGTGAGTCTTTACTTCGTCACGTGTCTCGTCGCCGCGATGGCCGTGCCGGCGGTGATACTTTTTTGCCCGGAGTTTTTAGACGCGTCGTTCTTTTTCCCGGACGTATCGATCCAGCCTGAGGCTTCTCCTTCGTGATCGCGCACGCCACCACCACCATCGTCGCAGTGTCTGTGCGGCCCGTGCCTCATGTGGTTGCCGTTTCTGACGATAATCGCGTTTTGGTTCCTCGTCGCGTTCAGCTTGTTTGGGGCGTTTTCGAGTGCCGGATGACCGTGTTGACGTTGGCGTTCTTCGGGTTTATGATTTACTTCATATTCTTCTTCGACGACGGGGGCGGCGGCAGGGGGGCGAGGAACGCCGGCGGGATGGACGCGCGATCGGGGTGGAAGAACCACACGGCGTGAGCGCGCGCGCGTCCGCTGCCTTTCTCGTCGTGAAGACTAGCTAGAGTAGACTAGTCGCGCGCGCTCGCGTAAAAAATCTCATCAGACTAAAATAAAAACCAGCGGACGATCACGCGGCGCCGACGACGGTCCCTCTCCGCGCCTTGTTCGGCGCGAGTTTCCCCGCGCTCTTCGCTTTCCTCTTCTGGCTCGCGTCCCTCTTCGCCTTCACCGCGTCTTTCCGCTTCTTATCCTTCGCCGCCTGCAGACGTTCCCTCGTCGCGGACTTCCCGATCAATCCCGGGGCTTCCTTCAGCCCGAACGCCGCCGCGACGTGCCCCAAGTGCAGTCGTTTGACGTGGAAGATGTGCTTCAAGTCCGACGGGAACGTCGCGTACGCGCGGACGTGCGACCGGAACGCGTCCTTCGCGAGCGTCGCGAGCTCTTTATCCCCGCCGACGGCGCCGTGAAGCTTCTTCTGCAGACGTTGCGCCGCGGGGTGTAGATGCGGCGACCGGTCGTACTCGCCGCGCGGCGTCCCTCCGCCGCGCCCTCCGTCTAGAACGTCAAGCATCGCGGGCACGCTCGCGGCGCAGAACTTCACGCCGAGCTCGCTCAGAACGTTCGCGTACTCCGTCTCCCTGGGTTGCAAAAACAGAACCGCCTCGCCCTCCCGCCCGAGCCGCGCCGTGCGTCCGACGCGATGCACGTACGTCGTCGGATCGCACGGCGGGTCGACTTGCACCGTCGCGCCGACGCCGGTGAAGTCTAGACCGCGCGCGCCGACGTCCGTGCACAGGAGGACGCCCGCGGTCGCGGCGGCGAAGCCTTGGTACACGGCCCTGCGGTCGGGCTGGGATAAGACGCCGTGGAGGCGGAAGACTTCGTACCCGCCCGCGCGCAGATCGTCGTCGTCGCCGCCGCCGCCGCCGCCGCCGCTCGCTTTCCCTTTGCCCCCGCCCGACGCGAGCCACGAGAGGACGCGGTAGTGAAACTCCACGGACTCGCACGAGGACAAAAACACCATCACCTTCGGGACCGCGCCCTGCATCCACCCCGCGAGCAAACCCGCGAGCGCGGCGAGCCGGCACTTCGCGGGCACCTCCACCGCGGTGTGCCTCAGCTGCTCCGGCATGCGCATCACCATCTTCTTCACGTCCTCCGCGCCGAGATCCGCGCCGCCGTCCAACGCGGCGATCGCGTCCTTCATCGCGGCGTCGGCGTCGTTCGAGTTTGGGTTTCCTTTTCCCTTCGAAACGCCGCCGCCGTGTCCGTTTCCGTTTCCGTGTCCGTGTCCGTTCCCCGTCCACCCCTCGTCCACGACCTCGGGCTCCTCCGGGTCGATCTCGATCGTCGCCGGATCCGTCATCGCGAGGTCGATCAGTCGCGACGTCCCCGCGGTCAGCGTCGCGGACAGAAGCGCGGTGCACCGCGCCGCGCCGCTCGTTCGCCGGTTCAGATCCGCCAAGATCGCGTTCAGATCCTCCTCGAACCCGAGGTCCAACAGCCGATCCGCCTCGTCCAACACGAGCCACCGAAGAAGGTCCGCCTTCATCGCCTCGGTGTGCCGCAGGTGGTCCAACAGCCTTCCCGGCGTCGCCACGAGGAGACACACGCCCTTCCTCAGCCGCGCCTTCTCCTTCTGCTTGTTCTCGCCCCCCACGACGCCACCGCACACGACCCAGTGGTACGGCCTCGACAGCGTCGCCGCCGTCTCCAACACTTGCGCCGCGAGCTCGCGCGTCGGCGTCATCACCAACGCGCGCATTCCATCTGCCCTCGCGATCCGCGGCGTTTCGCTCCCCAGCGCCGCGAGCAGCGGGCACAAGTACGCGAGCGTCTTCCCCGACCCGGTCTCCGCGCGCACGAGCACGTCTTCGCCGCGGCAGAGGTGCGGGATCACGCGCTGTTGCACGCGCGTCGGGGCGGCGAACCCCGCCGCCGGGGAGCGGAGGTGCGCGGCGAAATCCGCGGGGAGGCCGACGCCCTCCCACGTCCGCGCGGCGGAGGACGCCCCCCCCCCCGCGCCGAAGACGCGGCTCGTCGCGAGCGCGGAGAGCGGCGCGGAGGAGGACGCGAACGACGCGGGGTTCTTCGCGCTCGCGCCGCCCTCGGCGGCGTCGCCCTCGCCGTCCGCGACGGGACGCATCGCGCGACGCATGAGCGACGCCCAGTCCGAGGGGTTGAATCCGCCGCCTTCCATCCCGTCGTCGTCGTCGTCGTCGTCGCCGTCGCCGTCCATCGCCGCGACCTCGAGGTCGTTCCCTTTCCCTTTCCCGCCGCCGCGGCCGCCGCCGCGGCCGCGGCCGCCGGCGACGCCTCGGCCGGCGCCGTCCTTCCCGCCGCGCCGTCCTTCCCGTCGCGTCGAGGACGACGGTCTCTCCGCGGCGGCGCCGTCGCCGTCGCCGTCGCCGCCGCCGTCGCCGTCGCCGTCGCCGTCGCCGCCGTCGCCGTCGTCCGCGTCCGCGGGTCGCCAATCCCCCGGCTGCGCGCCTCTGCCGCCTCCGCCGCCTCGCCCTCCCGCGCCGGTCCTCCCGCCGCCGTCGCGTCCGCCGCGTCCGCCGCCGTCGCGCGATCGCGGCTTCCCGACCATGTCGGCGCGCTTCCCCGCCCACCCGCGATGACGCCCTTTCCTCGGAGGCTTCATGACCGTCCTCTTCCGCGGGTTCCCTTTCGGCTTCCGCGCGCCGTCGTCGCCGCCCGCGTCGTCCATCCCCGCGAGGTTCAGGACGAAGCCGCCGTCGTCGTCGTCGCCCATCGTGGCGTCCGCGGAGGCGGCGCGCGACGTGAATCTGACAGAATCGCGTTCGACAGCTCGCGGGGCGAGAAGTAGAAGTCTCTTCTCGACGCTTTCTGTTTCCGCGACGTCCGCGCACTCGACCGCGCGCACCGCCCACCGCGGACGACGCGCGTCATGCTCTTCGCCATCTCCACGACGACGAGCGCGCTCGCGGCCGCGCCGACGCGCGTCCCCGCGAGGCGCCGCGCCGCTCGCGTCGCGACGACGACGACGACGCGCGCGACGACGACGACGACGACGACGACGACGACGACATCGGAGGATAACGCGTCGACGGCGTCGACGTCGCGCTTCCTCGCCGCCGCGCTCGCCGCCGCGACAATCGCGACGACGGCGTGCCTCTCCGCCCCGGCGCCGTCGACCGCGAACGTCGGGTACGCGAACGACTGCGACCCGATATGCCACGTCCTGGACGACGGCGCGGCGAAGAGCAAGGCGCAGGAGGAGGCGTTCAAGAGGGAAGGGCCGCCGATGGGCGACCTGATGGCGCAGCTCCAGGCGCAGCGGAAGGCGGAGGAGGCGGCGGCGGCGAAGGCGGCGCCGAAGAAGGACGGCACGAAGTTTTGAGCGGCGCGCGCGTCTGGGAGAGAGAGAGAGCGTAGGGCTAGCCAGCGCGTGTGAATGACAGCGTGCTAGGATGCATCGTACGCGCGTCGGCCCGCGTCGTCGCCGCGCGCGTCCACCCCCTCCGAGACGAACAGAAAGTGATGAGAAACGCCACGTCACTCGATCGGCACTTTCGAGCGCGCCGGCCGACGATGGCGACGTCGCTCGCCGCCGCCGCCGCGTCCGTCGCCCCGCGCGCGACCGCGCGCCCCGCGCGTCCGCGAGCCGCCGCGCGCGGCGTCCGCGGCGGCTCCCGCTCCGTCGTGGTCAGAGGCAAGAAGGGCGCGTGGGCGAAAGAGTTCGACCCGGACTACGAGAAAGACAAGGAGGTGGTGGAGATCACCGCGGAGGCGGAAGGCTGGCCGGGGCTCGCGAGTGCGTCGTCGTTCCGCTCCACCCACCTCTTCGATTCCCTCGCGCGACGCGACGCGACGCGCGCGTCTCCCTCCATCGGGGCCCTCCCTCCTCGCGGCGTCGCGCCGCGGCGAAGGCGTCGCTCTCGCCGCGAGACTCCCCCGTCGCCCATCCATCCCGTCGTTCCGCCCGGTCTTATCCATCGATCGTCGCTCGCTGACGACGCGCTCCACCCTCGCCGCCCTCGCCCTCGCCCGCCGCGCGTCGTCCGTCGTCGCAGAGGACACGGAGGTGGAGACGTACAACATCCTCACGAAGCTCACGGGCCCGCTCAACATCACGTGGAACGGCATCGGCGTGATCCAAGTCCCCAAGGGCGCGACAAGAAGGAGAGCGAAACGTG